TCATGTCGTTGAAACGTCTCAAAGCGCTTCACAGAATATACTGAAAAATGGGTTGACTGTTTTTGTGGGCAAAATAGGCAGCAAATTGCACACAGCAGTGTTCAGAAAACAGTCGTGGATTGAGTGACCAATTTTTGGGGGGTTTTGAGGAATTATTACCCCCGGAAAAGCACTCCGCCAATCGACTAACAACCGGGTTCCTACTTCCTACTGCTGGGGTGTGTGGGCGGAGTAAGGAAACTTGCCTAAGTTTCACCCCAACCTGCCCGGGAATCGAACCCATTCGCTTACGAGGCGAGCGCTCTAACCACTGAGCTTCCGCACTCCGCTTAGGAATAGTTAGAGGGGTAGGGGTTGCTCTGTAGGATCTCTTCATGGGATTTAAAAATACACAGTCACTCCACTTCACAGAATATCCTGTGAAGCGCTTTGAGACGTCTCGACAACTTGATAAGGCGCTGAATCAAAAGCGAGGATTATTATTCTTATTATTAATGTGTACAGTGGGAGTGAATGGAGTTTTGTTGTGTATATTGGTCCTGTATTTCGGTCTATATATTCCGGTATGTATCGATTTCAAGATCCTCTCACTCGTCTTCAAATCCCTTCATGCTCTGGCACCTCTCCGACCCGTTCACTCCCCAACCCACTACCCACTGCCTCCCTCCGCCTCGCCCCCTTCCTTCCCGCGCCTGAAGACCTTCCTCTTCGACCGTGTCTACGGTCACCTCCCCACCGGCTTGGCATCGTGCTGCGTGCGCCACTGTCAAGCAAACGCTCCGGGACGCTGCCCAGCCTGAGGGGTGGCTGTGTAAATGCAAGTTGTTGTTGTTATTGAGAAGGGGAATGTGCTTGGAGCTGCTCTGTACTGTGCGTAAGTGTTGCTCAACTGGTGACCGCTTACGTTGATTCATTTCCAGTTGGAATATTTATTTGACTGATTCTTTGCTTTCTTTCGCAGGGTTTTTATAAAGGGGGTAAATTTGTGTTTAGCTTTAAGGTAAGTGTTTGGCGATCTCTTGGTGTCTGGATGACTCATTCGTAATAATAATCCTTGTACTTGATATAGTGTCTTATCACCTCATTGAAATGTCTCAAAGCGCTTCACAGATTATACTGTAAAGTCGATTGACTGTATATTTTGTGGGCGAAACGCGGCATCCAATTGCACACGATAAGTATATCAATGCAATTACATTGTGTGTGTCTTATTGAATTGCGTTATTACATTTATTGATTCTAAATTATCAATGAAATCATTATTACAACTGGCGTTTTATATATTAGAATGAATATAATGCGTATTGTGTACTATAATTCTGATTACGGCACATTTAATAATACAATTGCATACGATAAGTGGCTTCCAAACAGACTAGTTACACAGAGTGAGATTTCATGGAAACAAACCATTCGGCCCAAACAGTCCTTTCATTTCCTGCAACATCTCAAAGCCCCGCAAGGCTGATTCTTGCCCTGTGGAGAACGGATTTGAACCCAAGGAATAGCAGACAATTTACAGCAGTAAACCTCCAAGCACAGCCATGGAATAGGCCAGGACACTCGGAGGGATCTCCCTTCTCTTTTCGAACAGCGCCTTATCACGTCGGAAGGACGTCTCAAAGCACCAAACAGCGCTTACTGTCGAATGCAGCGACTCTGTATTTGTATCTATCCACATTGCCTCACAAAGCCCTCCACGGCCTCGCTCCTCCCTACCTCTGTGACCCGCTAACCCCCGACCAACCTGCCCGCTCCCTCCGCTCAGCAGGCTCTGGCACTGCTCCGTATCCCCCGCCTTGCCCTGCCCGCCCCTCCATCGGAGTTTGAGCCTTCAGCCTCTCTGCCCCCACCCTTTGGAACTCCATCCCACAGTCCCTGAACAGGCAGATACACATCGTCTTGGACAGTGTATCTCTGAAAGACGGTGCCTCTGACATTGCAGTGTTCTCCCGCCCCCCCACTACTGCACTGGAGTGTTAGCCTAACCCGTGAGCCATGTGGGCACCAGGGGTGAGTGACAGAATGGGTTGCGTTTCAGCTGTTGGCGGCTTGAATGTGTGGAGCAGACATCAGCTGCTGTGTGCTTGCTTTTCAGGTTGGCCAGGGGTATCCACATGACCCTCCCAAGGTGAAATGTGAGACCATGGTGTATCACCCCAATATTGATCTAGAGGGCAACGTCTGTCTAAACATTCTCAGGTACGTGAGGCAGAGGGCAGGACGAGGCCATTCCCCCCTCACCCCCCCCCCCCCTCTCCACGCACACACACACCTCACACACACCCACACACACACACACACACAGGCAATCCTCCCCACCAAACACGGAGACACAGACACCCACATATACCCATACACGGACAATCTCCCCCCCCCCCCCCACACCTCCCACACAGACACACACACACACATGCAGATAGATCCACACACACAGACAGCCCCCCACCCCCCGACGTACACACGTACCACACACAGACACACCTCAAACACACAACCACAAGCCCATGGACACTGATACTCAGGAGCTTACTGTGACTTTCACCATCAATTCCCCAGCCTGTGGGCAACAACAACATTACATTTATAGAGCACCTTTCACGTCGGGAGGACGTCCCAAAGCTTCGTGCTCCACCGCTGTCAAGCGCTCTGAGACGCTATCCTGCGTGACATGGGCTGTGTAAACACACAGTATTGTTGTAACGCGCCTTCTGCTTCCTTACAGAGAGGACTGGAAACCTGTATTAACAATAAACTCTATAATTTATGGCCTGCAGTATCTGTTTTTGGTAAGTAAACAACACAAAAGTTTTTAACCAGTTCAGGGCAAGTTGTTGTTGTCAAACAGCGCTGGATTAAATGTGAGGATAATAATGATTGTCATCGCGATGACGTGGAAAGGTTTTGGTCGCTGTTGCTCTCGGGGTGCAGTTATAACCCTCTCCGAACCTGTTTCCCCAGGAACCTAACCCCGAGGATCCCCTGAATAAGGAAGCCGCAGAAGTCCTTCAGAACAACAGGCGTCTGTTTGAGCAGAACGTCCAGCGGTCGATGAGAGGAGGTTACATTGGATCCACCTACTTCGAGCGATGCCTTAAATAGGGGCCACACAAGCAAATGGACTGAATGAAGCTGGCGGGCAAACGGAAATAAAATGTAAAGATCCGACACGAATTCAAATTAAAAAAAAAAGAAAAAAAAACTGAAATGGAAAAGCGGACGCCAAGGGATAAGGAGCGGAGACAGAGAAATTCCTCCCCCAACCCCTCAGTGAGCTGTCAACAGAGGAGACGGAATGGAAACAAAGACTGCTTAATGTTGTAATAGCTCTAGAGCATGCAGGCATTTCTAATAGTTTGGGTTTCTACCCCTTTTCCCTCCCCCTCCCTCCACCCCCCCCCCCCTTCCCCTCCCCCGATTAAATTTATTGTAAATGTCTTTCACTTAAATAAGAGTGCTGCCGTCTTTATGTTAATAAAGGTTTTTTAAATGTCTCCAGAGTATTTATACCCCCCACCTCCCATCCCAGCCCAGGCTAGTCATCGCTCTCGCTCTCTCTCTCGCTCTCTCTCAATGAAATTTTGCTGGGGTGGGGGGGTGGGGGAGGTGGGAATGCGTGTGTCTGTGCCCCCATTGCAGGTGAAGGTATTTGAGTCACGGCTCGGGGCGTTGGGGGTAGGGGGTGAGGCTGAATCGGATGTCCATGTCTGCTGTTTAATGGTTCAATTGGCTTTGTAGTTTGCAGAGAGAGAGAGAGAGAGAGAGAGAGAGAGAAAGCAAAATTCCTTTCAGTTATTTATGTGGAGTTCTGCTTAAGAGCACTCGCCTCGCAAGCGAGAGGGCCTGAGTTCGATTCCCGGGTGGGGTGAAACCTTAGGCACGTTTCCTTACCCCTCTGTTTACCCAACAGTAAGTAGGAACCCGGTTGTTAGTCGACTGGTGGATTGTTTTCCAGGGGGTAATAATCCTTTCAAAAAATCCACGACTGTTTGTGGGACACTGCTGTGCGCAATTGCCTGATGCGTTTCGCCCACACAATATACAGCCAAATTCACTTTACAGTATATTCTCTGAAGCGCTTTGAGACGTCTCTTAGAAGTGATAAGGCGCTATTATCAAATGCAAGGATTATTATTATGATTATTATTGTGTTAAGTGTGCATTAAACTGTATATTGTCTCCAAAAGACCTTGCCTGAAACAGCCACGTGACTGCAGACTGCTGGCTCTCGCTCACTCGCTCGCCCAGCAAGGAGATTTCAACAGATTTGCCTTGTTTTCGAATAAATCTCGAGATGCAACCGTTTAAAATTGTCAGTTTAACCGAAGCCTTTTACCTCTGCTGCTGCTTGTCGGCAAGGCAGCTTTCTGTTTCGTGATCTCTTCCTCTTTCATTAAACGTGCCTGAAATCCTGATGTGTGATGCGAATAAAATGGCGCTTTATGAGCGGGTTTCTGACGGGGGGGGTCGGGGCGACACAGTTTGCAGTCTTACGCAGCGCCGTTCACGTCGGGAGGACGTTTCGAAGTTTCGCAGCTGTCCGGGTACCTGGTTTGGTGGGGGTGGGGGTGGGGGAGAGAGATGACTGAAGAGAGGTCGAAGAGGTAAGTCTTAAAAATGGCTGTAAAAGTGGGGAACGGTGTGGATGGAATTCCGGAGAGTGGCGATAGGGTTTCTGCTCTCCAAAGAGGGGCGATGGGGTGGTGCGCTGTAGCGTAGCGGTTGGTTAGAGCACTTGCCTTGCAACCGAGGGGTCGGTCCCGGGTTCAATTCCTGGGCAGGGCGAAACCGTAGGCAAGTTTCCTCATTCCACACACACGCCAACAAAATACACAGTCACTACACTTGACGGTATATTCAGTCAAGCGATTTGAGATGTCTCAACAACGTGATAAGGTGCTATATCAAATGCAAGGATTATTATTCTATCGAACGCAAGGATTATTATTTAACGTTGGATCCAAGTGTCACCGTGACAGAGGCAACGGATTGGGTTCGGCACCACGTAATAGTGGACCTTTTAGACATCGCCAGGAAGGAAGGAGAATTCCGAAACGCACGCACAGGCGGCCAGGCTGCGACACGGGATTTAAAAGAAACCCGTTTTGCAAGTTTCCGTCCCGACTGACGTGCTCTCTGATGGCGATTTTTTGAAAGGCATTCCTTCCGCAGCATTCCAGAGGGCTGAGCGGATTACACCTCACAGCAGGTCTGTGGCATCCCGTGGAAACTTTCATTGTTTTAAGACGCTGTGTGAAAAGGTAGGACCCAGATTTCAACCCCACCCGGAGTTCCTCTCACTTTGCTTGGCTCCTACGCCCTTAATCACTGGATTTACTCCCTCTATGACTGTCTCAACCTCGTCTCTTTCTGCCTTCCCCTCCCAACTCAAATCCTACTTAATGATATATGTGATAAGGCGCCATATCAAATGCAAGAATTATTATTATTACCTCTTCGGACGTGCCTAGGGCCACCTTTCCCATAGTTACTTTGCCAACAATAAGTAATAATCCCCCACAAAATATTTTTTTAGCACTCGATCCATGACATGGACACTGCTGTGCGCACTCGGCTGCCGTGTGACACCCACAAAATATAGTCAATTAATTCAACAGTACATGTTGTGGAAGAGCTTTAAGGCACCGCAACGGTGCGTCGAGGCACTGGATCTAATGCAAGGATTATTATTATTAGTTATTTACCAACTGTTACATTTATTTAACTTTTACAATTACTTTTTCACCAACTATTGCAAATGTTAACGGGTTGATTCTGGTCGGGTATGTTAACCGTTCCGCACTGACTAACTGACCGTTAGTTATTTCCCCAGTATACCCACTGGACCCCTAATGTCACCAATCTAGTAAGTCACTTTATCATTATTACTAACAATTATTGACTTGTTATTTGTATTTTACCATTTTCCTGATATACTGAGTTCTTTTCACTCTAATAACTGTTATTACCACTGAACACTGTGGTTACTAACATTATTATTATTACTACCCTTGCTTACCTTGCGTGTGGAGTCCTGGAGCTCAGTGGTTAGAGCGCTCGCCTTGCAAGCGAGACACCTGGGTTCAATTCCCCAAACCTTGGGCAGGTTTCCTTACCCCACACAGAGCCTAATAATAATCCCTCCCTAACAAAACAATCATAAATTGGCCATTTTTCAATCCACGACTGTTTGTGGGACATTGCTGTGCGCAATCGGCTGCCGCGTTCGCCCACAAATATACAGTCACTACACTTTACAGCATATTCTGTGAAGCGCTTTGAGACGTCGAGGGTTGTCATTATTATTATTATTAATGTACCTGAGTAACTAGTAATAATCCGGATTATTCCTTTACTATTTGACTGCCTTGTTATTTACAATCAGCTGTTACTCTACCCAGCCGGCCACGCCCACCCCGTGACGTCACGCCCAACCCGTGACGTCAGACCAGCCCGTGACGTCACACCGGCCCGCGCGACGCCGCGCCCATCCGTGACGTCACGCCTGGGATCACGCGACGCGAGCGGCGTGACAGCCGGGAAGTGACGCAACGACGCCGCCCCGGCAACATCCGGTCGCAGCGACTCTTCTCTGGTCCCCGGTAACGCCGTCGCCTCCTCTTCCTCCTCCGGTAATGCGGTCGATTCCCGGGTTCAGTAACACCGCCCCTCCCCCACCACCACCACCGGGAATATCGTCTCCACCAGCGGCCCCGGTCACACCGATTCTCTCTCCGTAACACCGCCCCCCCCTCAGCCCCCGGTAACACCACCGCCCCCCCTCAGCCCCCGGTAACACCACCGCCCCCCTCAGCCCCCGGTAACACCACCGCCCCCCCTCAGCCCCCGGTAACACCACCGCCCCCCCTCAGCCCCCGGTAACACCACCGCCCCCCCTCAGCCTCCGGTAACACTGTCTATTCCCGGTAACCCGGGCTGCCCCTCCCCCCTCGCCCTCGGGAGGATGGCCTCTGTCCCGATGACACTCCCTTCCTGCCTCCTCCTCCCCTGACCCTTTGGTAACCGGCCCCGAGACCCCGCCCAGGGTGTGTGGGGGTGTGTGGGGTGTGGGAGTGTGTGGGGGTGTGTGCGAGTTGTTGTTGTTGTGGCACAGGAATCTGGGCTGCAGTTGCCCTCCTCCCCCCCCACCACCACCACCTGACCAATAACCGGGGGATTGTCAGTCAGGGACACGGGGGGGGGGGAGGGAGGGGGGAGGGGATAAACTCCCTTCTCTTATCTAACAGCCCTGAGATTGCGGAGATCTTTGACGTCCACCTGAACGGGGCGCAGACGGGGAGTGAGGTTCAGCGTCTTGTTGAAGCGCAGAGATCGAAATCAACAGTACTGAGGTCACTCCAATCCACGGCTGTTTGTGGGGGACGTCGCAGGGCGTAATCGGCTGCAAAATACACAGTCACTACACTTGACAGTGAAGCGCTTTGAGACGGCTCGAAGACGTGATAAAGCCCTGTATCAAATGCAAGGATTATAATAATCTTTGCATTTGATATAGCGCTTTTCACGTCGGGAGGACGTCCCAAAGCGCTTCACAGAACACACTGTAAAGTGAATTGACTGTATATTTGTGGGCGAACGCGGCGGCCAATTGCGCACAGTAATGTCCCACAAACAGTCATGGATTGAAAGTGACTAATTTTTTATTATTGTTTTTTTTTGGAGGGATTATTATTAGGCTCTGTGTGGAGTAAGGAAACTTGCCCGAGGTTTGGCCCTGACCTGCCGGGGATTGAACTCAGGTCTCTTGCTTGCAAAGCGAGTGCTTATTATTATTATTAATTATTATTATTATTCCCTCCGCAGCCCTCGGGGACGATTGCGGGACACCTGATTGTCTTCTCTCTCTCCTCAGCAACTAGACAGACAGACAGACGGACAGACAAGATGCAGGCGCTTTTCGGACGCAGGAAGACCCCGGAGGAGTTACTGCGGCAGAACATCCGGGCGTTGAACCGCGCCATGAGGGACCTGGACCGCGAGCGCTCCAAGCTGGAGGGTCAAGAGAAGAAAATCATCGCCGACATCAAGAAGATGGCAAAGCAGGGTCAGATGGTGGGTTCCGGGCGCATATTTTTGTATTTTGATATATTTTCGCCCACAAAATGCACAGTCACTTCATTTTACAGTATCTTCTGTGAAGCGCTTTGAGTCTCGAAGACGTGATAAGGCACTGCATCAAATGTAAGGATTATTGTTATTATATCTCAGGATATAATTTGAGACACGACACGTGTAAGCGACTGCCACGAACTAGATGGACCTGGTTCTTCTTTAGTAATTTTTATGTTCCAAAATTTTGGTGGCAAGGTGGGGGTGGGGGGTAGAAGAGATCTCGGAGTCCTGTAGCGCTCATCTTGCAAGTGAGAGGACCCGGGTTCGACTCCTGGGTGGGGCGAAACCTTAGGCAAGTTCCCTTACACCACACACACACACACGCCTCTGTTTTCCCAAAGTGAGTTGTCAATCGATTAGTAGGTCGCTTTTCCTGTAATAATTCCTCCAGAAAATAAATTAATTGATAATAATTTGGTCACTCAATCCACGAATGTTTGTCTACCCTTGTTTGTGACTCCCAGGACGCTGTTAAGATCATGGCCAAAGACCTGGTCCGCACCCGTCGCTACGTCAAGAAGTTCATCATGATGCGAGCCAACATCCAGGCCGTGTCGCTGAAGATCCAGACATTGAAATCCAACAACACCATGGCCCAAGCCATGAAGGGGGTCACCAGAGCCATGGCCACCATGAACAAACAGGTCAGCCCTATCCTGGGGAAACCCCTCGTGTCTTTCAGGTCGAGAGGACGACCCAAGCTCTCAAAAGGGAGTTGGATAGGGACTTGAAAAGAAAAGCATGTGTAGGGCTGTGGGGAGAGAGCTGGGGAGTGGGACTGGTTGGTGGCTCTTTCAACGAGCTGGCACAGGCATGATGGGCCGAATGGCCTCCTTCTGAGCCACCATCCTCGCTCTCCCGCCTGGCGGCAAGCTCAGCACTTCGGGACGTCCTCCCGACGCGAAAGGCGCAACAGCACCATGGCCCAGTATGAACGCAATTAGTGGTTTGATCTTGTTAGTTAGACCTCTGCTCGAAGGGGCTGAAAGCAAAGCGTGGGGTAGGAGGATGCTGACCTGGTGTCTGTGCATGTGTGTCTCTTGCAGATGAATCTGCCCCAGATTCAGAAGATCATGATGGAGTTTGAAAGGCAGTCGGAGATTATGGAGATGAAGGAGGAAATGATGAACGACGCCATCGATGACGCAATGGGCGACGAGGACGATGAGGAGGAGAGGTCGGTGGTCCTGGGGGTGGGGTGGGGTCGAGGGGAGTTGTGGGGGTGGATGTGCGACATTGACCCTTAAAGTGTTGTGTTATTCTTCACTCAGATCACCATTAACCATAGAAACAGGAGGAGGCCATTCAGCCTCTCGAGCCTGTCCCGCAAACAAATCCGTCCCCTTAAGCCGCTTGCTCTGTTGCTGTGAGGAGTGTCGCTTGTCGCTTTAACCAACATGTCTGCTCTTTGTCTTCACAGCGATGCAATTGTGTCTCAGGTGCTGGATGAACTCGGTCTGAATCTGACAGATGAACTGTCCAGTAAGTAGTGGCTGTGATTAAAACCCTCCTCGCATTTGATCCAGAGTCTGTGACATTGGATCAAACTGTCCACACCCTCACTACCATTTGCCTCCGCTCGACTAGCTCCGGCCTCCTCCATGTCCCTCAGATGGTGGCAACAACAGCACATGACATTTACACGCCTTTCACCTCGGGAGGACGTCCCAAGTCGCTGGACAGTCAGGGATTTGGACCCAAGAGGTGGGGGTGGGGGTGGGAGGGTGACTGAAGGCACGATCGAAGAGCAGGGTCTTGAGGTGGACCTTGAAGGAGGTAAGGGAGGGAGCGAGGTGGAGGGACTGGGATGGAGTTCCAAATGGTGGGGAGGCTGAGAGGCGGAAGGCCCAATTGCCAACGGTGGGGGATGTGGAGCAGGCTGGAGCCCGCTGAGCGGAGGGAGCGGACCGGTTGACATTGAGTTAGCAGGTCACAGAGGTAGGAAGGAGCAAAGCCCTGGAGAGCTTTGAAGGCAATGTCACATCTCTCTCTCTCTCTCTCTCAGACTTGCCATCCACCGGAGCGACACTGAACGCCAAAGAGGGAAAGGAGGCAGACAATGCAGATGCAGACCTGGAGCAGAGGCTGAGCAAACTGCGCAGAGACTGAATGAGAAGCTGCGCTCTCTCTCTCTCTCCCTCCCTCTCTCTCTCTCTCTTTCTCTCTCTCACAGTTCCTGTTCATTATAGTTCCAGGACAATGCCCCGATACATATCGAGAAAACTCGAGACTTTTGAGTATTTTTGCTTTGTTTCCCCCCCCCCCCCCCGCTGTTTGAAGGAGAAAGATTAGAAAACTAAACGCTAAGCGAGACCCTCCAAGGCTTTGAAGAGCTTTGAGACGTCTCGAAGACGTGATAAGACGCTGTATAAAATGCAAGGATTATTATTATAAGCAACCCACGGACCTTAACAAATCAGGGGGATGGGGTAGGGGTTAAACAAAGAGCCAGGGTGCCCTCCGAGGTACTTTCTATTTCCCTCCTCTTTCCCCCCCCATCCCTAGGTGTGGTTGAGAAGGATGAACAAGGGGTGGGTCAGGTGGCTGGTTTCGCCCACAAAACATAGTCAATTCACGTTACTGTGAAGGGCTTTGAGACGTCCCGCAGACATGATAAGGCGCTGTATCAAATGCGAGGATTATTATTATTATGATTGATTCTGTCCGGAGTGCAAACTGTTAACATACCTTAAATCGGGAGCTGATTAAAACCCGGCCTCACCTCTCCACCCGCACGCTGTGTTTTTGGAATTTACGGAACGCCGCTGGAAAAATCACTCGGATTCTGATGGAAGGATTGCTGTGCCTGTTCTCTTCCCCCCCACCCCCTCCCCCCCGCCCTCCTCCCCACCCCCTCACCATTGAGAACGTACCTGACAAGACTTAGCCTTGTGGACGGCCATTTCTATTAGTTGTAACGTGAAATCTCGGTCACCTTTGCCTGCTGTTTGGGGGCTTGCTGCTGGTTTTATTCAGGTCTTTGCTTTATTTTTTGTGTGGGTGGAGGGGGGGTAAAATAAATCCCTTTCCTGCTGCTGCTGTGAGCAGACATCTCCCAAGGTTTCCGCAGATTTTTTTTTCCCGCTGTTCGAAGACCGTGGTATAATTCTGTGAAGCGCTTTGAGATGTCTCCACGACGTGATAAGACGCTATATCAAATGCGAGGATTATTATTATTGTTTGCGAGAGCATCCTGCTGTATTCTAGCTATCGGGCTCCAGATGTGCTGTGCAGGAAAGAGAATCTCGCGCTGTTCTAGATCGATGTGCCTAGAGCTGGTCTGAGGTTGAATCTAGAGCTGGACTGGGATGCAATCTAGAATGGGTTATGATGGCGTCTGTTTATCCCACGCTCCCGCTGCACTTTGACGCACATTGTCTTGTAAGAAACACTTGTATCTCGTCGCTCGCCCATCTTACCTGGAAACTAACCGAATGGCCTCACTAACGAACACGCGCAACGTAACGTCCTCTAAACACAGCCCCAAACCTGTTTGATGCACTTTGTATAACTGCTTTTCAGATACGGGGAAAGTGGGGGATGTGAATGCTTTTAACTTGTGGTGGTGGTGGGGTAATGTGGGGAGGGGGGAGAGACTGCCCAGAGCTAAGACGTCAAACCTCGTAGCCAGCTTTGCTGTGTAGTAAGGCTGCAGTGTATATATTTATATATATGTGTTCGATTGGGATCTTTTCTGTCACAATAAATTCTTTACCTTTTGATTATTTTTGTAACTTGTATTGAAAGGTTTCTGTTCATCGAATATAATCCCATAAAAAAAATTGGTCTCACATTCCACGACGGTTTGTGGGACGCTGCTGTGCCCAATTAATTGGCTGCCGTGTTTTGCCCTCCAGATACAGTCACTCCACTTTACGATGTATCCTGTGAAACGTTTTGACGTGATGAGGTGTTGTATCAAATGTAAGGATTATTATTAATAATTCCATAAGATCAACGGAATCGGGAGAGTTTTAATATTTTTATTACTGATAAAATATATTTACTGAGAAGCAAAGACAGAGTTTTGGGTGAAAGCGACTGGAGACGAGGTTGGTTGATGGCTGGAGCCTTGCCGGAGTTTACACCGCCACAACGTGGCTGGTCGGTCCCAGGAGAGCGGGGGGGGGGACTGGTGATGGTGGCGTTTGGTCCACATCAGTGAATGGGCACAGCTGGTTTGTGTGGGTATTGCTGGTGGGTGAGCAGGGCTGGAGCTGGGTTGGGCTATTGCTGGAGGTTGCAACAACACCCGGGGTAGAGTGCTCGACAGTGATGGAGTCTGAGGGAGGGGGACAAGGTGGAGGGATTGAGTGAGAGAGTTTCGGGGCATAGTGGCTGAATGTATGGCCTTCAATGGTAGAGCGGAGGGGGCGAGGGACGAACAGGAGGCCGGAGCCAGAAGAGCGGAGGCAGCGGGTGGTGTGGTGGGGGAGGGGGGAGTAAGCAGATCGGAGAGGTAGGGTGGGGCTGCCGGGGGGGGGGAAATAAAGAGAGGATCTTGAAATCGATGCGTTCCGTAATTGGAAGCCAGTGGAGCCTGGTGAGGACTTGGTGTCGTGGTGCTACTCTGCGGTTGCATTTTATTGAGTCGCTTCTGGGTTAGAAACAAAAGCACAGTCACTACACTCGACAGCAATTCACTTGAAGCTCAGTGAAGCACCGCGAGACGCTGTGTTAAAGGCAAGCGTTAATGATATCCACGTGGGATTGAGATCTGACCTGAAGGTGCTCCCGAGATGTTAGTGGAGTTAGTGAGTTTGGAAAGGACTTGGTTGCCTGGTTGTGCCCCTGGCACAGGAGTTGGCACAAGCACACAAGCTTTCCTGCCCTTGGATACCCTCTCCCCGCTCGCCCTCTGTACCCAGGACTCTCCAGACTGCGAATGGGTTGTTGCGTCTGTTAGTAGCCGGCCAAGTTGGAGGTGTGTTAGTGAGCGAGAGATGGCGGGAGGGACAGGGAGGGAGGGAGAGGTACGAGCGGGAAGCGAAGGAGTCTGAAATCAGGACAACACGGAGCTGCAGATACCTGTGGAGACAACAAGAGGTTATGTTTACGCTGCCCTTTTGTGGTGGGAGGATGTCCCAAGGCGCTGGGCAGTCAGGGATTTGGACCCGAGCTGGGGATTGGCATCAGGAGGAGGGCAGGGAGGGTAGGGGTCTATTTAGCAGGTCACAGAGGTAGGGAGGAGCAAGGCCGTGGAGGGCTTTGAAAGTGAGGATGAGGAAGGGTGTGACTGTAACCTTGTGGGTGTGGAGGATCTGGTTTAAAGCCCGAACCATATGGTCTTAGCTGGTTAGACTCCAGCAGTTACCCCCACGCACACTCTGGGCTCCCCCCCCCCCCCCCCCCCACACACACACACACACCCCCAAGCCTTGGCTCTCACCAACTTGTGCCTAATACTCTCTAGAATTAGGTGAGCAGGGGGCGTCTCTCCAGGGGGAGAGGGAGAGAGAGAGAGCATTCCAACCATCTCTCTCCGGGGTTTCCAGGTGTGGGTGGGACGTGGGGAATTCTCAGTTGGGTTTGGAGACTCTTAAGCAACGGTCAGATACCCGGCTGGGCAAAAAAATGGTTCAAACCACACCCCCACCCCCACCCCCCCCACCCCCCAAAATCCACAGTCAATTCCCTTTGCAGTGAAGTGCTTTGAGACATCTCGAAGACGTGATAAGGCTCTGTATCGAATGCAAGGATTATTATTGCTATTATTATAGGGCGTATATGAGCTGGGGCGATGTGGGGGTGATGTTTAGCTGAGGTAGAGCCAGGCGGTGGACTTGGGCAACAGTGAGGGACTTGTGGAGCTCGACAATGGGGTAGGGAGGGGGGAGTTGTGATGCAGCGTCTATTTGTGTGACACAGAAACCAGGCAGATGCTCACCGTGGCTACACGTTAAACCCTAACCTCTTCATACAGTCCCTGTAAGCTGCGGCTGCCGCCTCGCAACTCTCTTCGCCTTTTGTTGTGATGCTGGAAACGAAAGAAATCGCCAGCGTTAGCGGGCGTCGGAAGCTGGTCCCAGGGGAAACTCTTCTCCCCTCTTCTCCCCCCCCCCCACCACCACCGAAGCAAATCCCACAGGTATTCCCTCTCTTCCGTCCTTCCTTCCTTCCTTCCTCCTCCCCCAGGAAAAGCCCTTGTCCCATCCTCTCCATCCCCAGAGGATAATAACTAAGTAATAAGCCTTCCATTTGACCCAACGCCTTATCACATCCTTGAGACGTCTCAAAGTGCTTCACAGGATATACAGCAAAGTGGAGTGACTGTGTGTTTTGGGGGCGAAACGCAGCAGCCAATTGCGCCCAGCGACGTCCCCACAAACAATCGCGGATTGAGTGTCCAATTTTTGATCAAAAGGGATTATTATTATTACCCCTGGAAAAGCGATACTGACGCTGCTGGGCACAATTGGCTGCCGCGCTCCGCCCACAAAATACACAGTCACTCCACTTTACAGTGTATCCCATGAAGCGCTTTGAGACGCCTCAAAGACGTGATAAGGCACTGGGTCAAATACCAGGATTATTATTATTATTATTATTATTATACCGGGAAGTTCTCGGGGCCCCTGTGGAATATCAGCCCAGCGCCCAACCTGGCCGGGAACTGTGCCCAGTCACCGCTTGGCTTCACTGCACCCACACAATGGCAGCGCTCGCTCGGCCAGCCGTGAAACGGGCAAAAACAACACGGCCTGGATTCCTCTCGTTGCACGAGCTCGGGCTTGCTGAGTCAGCCTGGGGCCCGCTTGCTGAGCCAGGGAGTAGAGTTGTCTGTGGGTGTGGCGGGGAGCTCTCCCTCCTGCCTTTGGCGGTAGCGGGGGGTAGGAGAGGGGGGAGGATAGGGGCTGGAGGCCGAGGGAGTGTAAGATAAGCAAAGCAGCTGCAAGCAATGGGGAAAGCTTGGACAGACTCCAGCAGTTCATCCCAACGCACATTCTCAGCTCGGTTTGGAGAGTCTTAAGTAATGGTGATGGGTTTCCGCGTGTGTCAGACGTCCAGCTGACCCCCAACACCCCCAAAAAAAAATGTTAGCCTCTGTTTCACAGGGTCGGGGATATTTTCAAGCGAGATGTTCCACCTTAAGAAAGCAAATCACCCGTTAATGCCAAGTGGGTGACTCCTTTGTCCAGATCTCAGCCTCCAGATAAATGGTCCTTTGCCGTGAGAGCAAATTGGATGTTGACAACGGTTGACAATAATTATTGCAAAGCACTTTGAGACACTATAGGTGCTGTATCTAACAATAGTACTCCTTGCATTTGATATCGTGCCTTATCACGTCTTCGAGACGTCTCAATGTGCTTCATAGGATGCACTGTAAAGTGGAGTAACTGTGTATTTTGTGGGCGAAATGCGGCAGCCAATTGCGCACAGCAGCGTCCCCACAAACAGCCGTGGATTGAGTGACCATTTTATTGAGTGATTGGAGGGATTATTAGCCCTGGAGAGCGATCTGCCAATCAACTAACAACTGGATTCCTACTTACTGCTGGGTCAACAGACAGGTGCGTGTGTGTGTAGTAAGGAATTTCGCCCCCACAATAATAATGCAAGGGATTATTATATTCATTTCCCTGATCTTTGCTTATGAGAGAACTCATAAGTTTGTGGGAATATTGCCGGCATACACCAGCTGCTGGGTTTGTCTCCATAACCAGGATCTATTCATTTCTAATTAATCTCTCTGCAAAGCGCTTTGAGGCATTTCTTGTGTGCGAAAGGCGCTGTATAGATGCAAGCTGCAATATAGATGGTGCGTTTCGCACACAAAATACACAGTCAAGCGCTTTGAGATGTCTCGAAGACGTGATAAGGCACAATATCAAATGCAAGTATTATTCTTCTTATTAAGGGCCTTATTCCCCGACATCTCAAGGACGGTTTCACTCTCACAGGCGTGCGGTGTACGTGGATTGTGGCAGTGTTTGCGCAGACCAGTGTGTTTCCGCATGATTGTGTTTTATTGAGTGTATTGGATGTGAAGGATGTGAATGTGTGTGTGCGTGCATGCATATATGTGCACACAGCAGGTTTACAGTAGGGGTGCGTGCGTATGTTTGTGCGTGGTGCACACATGCATGTAGGGGTGTGTGTGTGTGTGTGGGGTGGGGGGGCATGGGTGGAATGCATGTGTATGATTTGAGTATGTGTGTGCATACACGCATGTATAGGGTAGGGGTGTGTGTGTCTCCCGGAGGGTTTGAGGGAGTGACATAACAGACATGTAGCCACAGGAATGCTCCTGCTCAAACAGACAAGACCCCTGCTCTCTCCGACTGCACTCTCCCAACGACCTTTTTTTTAACAAAACATATCTCCCGGAAAATATACAGTCACTACGCATTACATTATATTCTGTGAAGAGCTTTAAGATGTCTCGAAGATGTGATAAAGCGCCATATCAAATGCAAGGATTATTATTATTAATATTATATTAGCACCGAGAGATTTACAAACCAGCTCCATTTTATCGGGAGGGTTTCAAAATGTCAACCGTTGTTCCACAAGGGACGGAGGATGGTCATCGATACGATTCCGGTGTTCTGAGTCGAAGGCTTACCACTTTTCCATGGCTGCTTTGAGCTGGTCGCAGGCTGTTTCCAATGGTGCCTCGCCATCTTTCTCCCCGGTCTGTACGGTGCTCTGATCTTTGCTGTCTGACATGTTGCGGGTTGTCTCTCCGAATGGCTGGCTGGCTGTTTAGCTCCCCCCACCCTCTCCCCACACACCCCCCCCTCCTCTCCCCACACACCCCTCCCCGCCGCCGCCGCCTGCCTGCCTCGTCCCGCAAAGCTGAAGGGCGGAAGATAATCTTTTGGTCAAATGATGCCTTAAAGGGCGGAGGTCGACTATTGGGCAGGAGAGATAGTACGACAGACAGACTAGGCTGCAACGAGGCTGTATTTAACTTGCTGCGTTTTCGTACTGAAGGTGCAACAGAGCAAAAACATCTAACCTTCCGAGCACAGAGCCCAACTGCTCCACCAAAATGTTTCTGACAAGACAGCAGTGGGAGAGAGCAGGTTAACTCTTTGCGGTTCTATCAGTGGGATCTAACGAGTTAACCACTCGTTAGCATCCAGTTGGCTTGGCAGGGCTACCCTTTAGGCGCTCCTGTTCAGCAACTGCATGTTGTTGTTGTTGTTGTTGTTGCTCAGGGCGAAACCTTAGGCAAGTTTCCTTGCTCCGCACACGCGCCTCTGTTCACCCAACAGTAAGTAGGAACCTGGTTGATAGTCGATTGGTGGATTGCTTTCCCTTCCAAAACAAATTTAAGAAATAATAATTTGGTCACTCAATCCACGACTGTTTGTGCGCGATTGGCTGCCGCGTTTCGCCCACAAAATACACAGTCACTACACTTTACACTCCTCGCATTTGATATCGCGCCTTATCACGTCTTCGAGACGTCTCAAAGCGCTTCACGGGATACACCGCAGCGAATTGACTGTATATTTTGTGGGCGAAACGCGAGCTGGTACGTTGGACCCATCACAACACATGGCATTTACACGGCGCCTTTCACGGCGGGAGGACGTCCCAAGATGCTGGACGGTCAGGGATTTGCACCCGAGGTGGGGGTTGGGATCGGGAGGGGCGGAGGGCAGGGATGGAGGGTGGGTGGGGTGGGGTGGGGGGGGGGTCGGAGGGTGACCAAAGATGCGGTCGTTCGAAGAGGAGGAGGCGAGGGAGGGGTGAAGCGGAGGGGCTGTGGGATGGAGTTCCAGCGAGGCGGGGGCCAGAAAGCCAGATTGCCGTTCGTCTCGGTTGCCCCTGCGGGTCCCGGGATGCTCTTGGTCGCCATGGCTTGTTCCCGTGGGCACCAACTTGCCTCGGTTGCCCCCTGGGTTTGGACGTGTGTCCCAATATGTTTGTAGCCCAAAGTCCACAGCTATTGACTTGGTATTTGTCAGGTCAGGGCTTCAAGGGATGCGGAGTAATTGCAGTGAGGTACAAGATCAGCCATGATCTGAATGGAACGGGCTCGAGGGGCTGAATGGCCTCCCCCCCCTCCCCCTGTTTTCTATCTTTCCTGCCAGACGCCAGCCCAAAAGTAGCCCAATGTGAAGCTTCGCCACACAAAACCGCCCAGTTGGGCGTGAAACCCGCCCAACCCGACCCAACCCGGCATCACATGGGCGTTGGTGGGGTCACGTGGAGGAAGGGCCGCTCGCGTGCGTCGGCGGTTGGGCCGTTTGTTGACACTGACCAATCAGCGCGGGAGCCAGAGCACGTGGCGATGGTTTGGGCGCGGGTTGACTCGGACCACGTGTGTGAGGGGGGGGGGCGGGAATTGACCAATCAGCGCGTCATGAGGCAGAGCACGTGACGAGGGGGCCGCTTGTTGACTCTGACCACGTGAGGGGGGGGATTGACCAATCAGCGCGGGCGGCCGGAGGCGGGAGGCCGAGCGCGCGGGTGAGGCGCGAAAAGATCAGTCACATGGGGAGTCTGCGGGCATGGCGACCGCTCCTGGTGTTCACCGGCCGCTCCCTCCTCCGGCCGCCGCCCTCCCTGCCCGGCATCGCCTGGGTCGGGCGGCGGGGCGAAGGGAGCGGCTGCCCCGCGCGACGGAGCCGCATCAAGAGCCTCTCGGCAGCCTGTGAGGAGGGCATCAACTCGCAGATCAACATGGAGCTGAACGCCAGGTATACCTACCTGTCCATGGTGAGTGTGTCACACCCGGTCACCGCCTCACACCCGGTCACCGCCTCACACCCGGTCACCGCCTCACACCCTCACACCCGGTCACCGCCTCACACCGGGTCACTCCCTCACACCTGGTCACCGCCTCACATCCGGTCACTCCCTCGTTCACACTCACACCCGGTCACTCCCTCACACCCGGTCACCGCCTCACACCTTCACACCCGGTCACTCCCTCACACCCGGTCACCGCCTCACACCCTCACACCCGGTCACTCCCTCACACCCGGTCACCGCCTCACACCCGGTCACCACCTCACACCCGGTCACCGCCTCACACCCCGGTCACCCCCTCACACCCCGGTCACCGCCTCACATCCGGTCACTCCCTCGTTCGCACTCACACCCGGTCACTCCCTCACATCCGGTCACTCCCTCGTTCGCACTCACACCCGGTCACTCCCTCACATCCGGTCACTCCCTCGTTCGCACTCACACCCGGTCACTCCCTCACATCCGGTCACTCCCTTGTTCACACTCACACCCGGTCACTCCCTCACACCCGGTCACCGCCTCACACCCGGTCACTCCCTCACATCCGCACCCTGATACCCTCAGCAGACCACCACCACCACCAACAAATGACATTTACACGGCGCCTTTCACGTCGGGAGGATGTCCCAGGGCGCCGGATTGTCAGGGATTTGGATCCGAGCTGGGGGTTGGGATTAGGAGGGGGGAGGTTAGGAGAGTGCCTGAAGGCGCGGTTGAAGAGGAGGGTCTTGAGTTGGGCCTTGAAAGAGGCGAGGGAACAGGCGAGACGGCCGGACTGTGGGATGGAGTTCCAGAGCATGGCGGCAGAGAGGCTGAAGGCCCGATCGCCCATGGTGGGGCGGGCAAGGCGGGGGACGTGAAGCAGGTCGGAGCTCGATGAGCGGAGGGAGCGGGCGGGTTGGTAGGGGTGAGGAGGTCACAGAGGTCATTACAACGTTTTGGCATTGATGAAGCTCATTTTCCGACCGCCGCCTTTCTCTCTTTTCAGTCGTATTACTTTGACCGAGACGACGTCGCTCTGAAAAACTTTTCAACGTACTACAAGAAGCAGGCAGACGAGGAGCACGAGCACGCAGAGAGGCTGGTGAACTACCTGAATCGGCGAGGGGGGCGCCTTGTGCTGAAGGACATTAAGGTCAGTAATGGGAAGCCCTACCTCCTTTCTACCCCGTACCCAATTGCTTGGTTTTTTTTCTTTGTTGTGTATGAACCTAGCTTCGTTGGTCAGAAGTTCAGCCTTTGGAACTCCATCCCACAATCCCTCCGCCTCCCTCTCTTGCCTCCTCCAAGATCCGTCTCAAGATCCTCCTCTTCGACCATACCTTTAGTCACCCTCCTATCCCTACCCTCCACCCCCTCCTGATCCCAACCACCAGCTCGGATGCGGATCCCTGACTGTCCAGCCCCTTTGATGTCATGTCCTCCTGACATGAAAAGCGCCGTGTAAATGTAATTTGTTGTTGTTGTCCACACTGATGTAATGTTAATCTCCGGGGATGTCAGAGATAGTGTTCTTGGATTGAGATTGTCCTTGAATTTTTTTTCTCCCCTTTTCTAATGGAATTGTATGTTTGCTTTAGAAACCGGGGGATGAGTGGGGCAATGGCCTGAACTCGATGGAGAAAGCTCTGCAGCTGGAGAAAGATGTGAACAAGAGTCTCCTGCAGCTGCATAAGCTAGCCTCTGAACAGAACGACCCCAGTGTAAGTGTGTGTTTGAATCCAAAACATCCTCCCCACCTCTCTCTTTCTCTCTCTCTGTCTATCTTCCTGGGTGTCATGCAGTGAAGGGTTCTCATTTACAAACTCCTGGACATCTAAGTAAAGTGTCAGCTCAGACTTTTAGGTTTGTCAGTGAATTGAAGGGGGTGATGGGGAGAAACAACACCATTGCTGACTTCTGAAGATTTTATAACAGTCAGGGATCGAGACCCAAGCGTGGGGGGGGGCAGGGTTGGGATGAGGGAGGGCAGAGAGGGTAGGAGGGCGGCTGAAGGCATAATCGCAAAGGAGGGCCTTGAAGCGGGCAACGGAAGGAGCAAGGCGAAGGGATTGTCGGATGGAATTCTACAGGTTAGGGCCAGAGAGGCTGAAAGCCCAGACTCCCATGGTTGGGCGGGAGACATGGAGCTGGCCGGAGGCTGCTGAATGGAGGGAGGGGATAGATTGATAGGGGCTTAGCAGGTCAGAGAGGGGCAAAGGCCGTGGAGGGCCTTGAAAGTGAGGACGAGGATTTTGAATTCTATCCTCTGAGGGATGGGGAGCATTTATATAGCGTCCCTCTCCCGCCTTTGTTAGAGCCTACTGTTTCTATTTAACATTACACCGGGTGCCTCGTTGATGGAATTTGGTGTCTCAAATGATGTCCATGCTAATAATAATAATAATGGTTGAATTTGATATAGCACCTTAACACGGCATTGAGACACCTCAAAGCGCTTCATAGAGTAAAGTGTAGTGACTGTGTGTTTTGTGTTCTTTCAGTTGTGCGGATTCCTGGAGTCCTACTACCTGGAGGAACAAATTGAAGCCATCAAGAAATTCGGAAACCACATCACCAACTTGATGCGGCTGGGAGCCTCTGACAGTGGCCTGGGAGAGTACCTGTTCGACAAGCACACCCTGGGGCAAGAGGAGAAGTGAGGCTCGTGGCTGAGTGTGCAAATATTCCACCTGGATATGTGTGTCTCGTGCTCTTAGTTGCATGCGCCAGCCCATCTGGCTTTTAGCTACATCACTGAATGGGGGAAACGGCACACGGCAGAATAATTCAGAAGTAAAGCCAAGTGGAATTGAAAAGGATGCCATTTTGCTGTGAGTTCAAAGGCTAATCTACCTCTCCCATCCTCTTTCAACTACATTGACCAATAACGCACAAATGTGGCTGAAAAGACCAGATAAGAGTAAATCTCTTGACTAACCTCTGGGCTCAGTGTACAGTGCAGAAGCCAGGCTTTAAACCAGCTCCCAAATAAAAGTTGTTTCATCTTTACCTTTACCTTTGCCTCTGACTTATTATGTGATCCACAACAAAGGATCAGAGTCTTATCTAACTGGGCAAGGGAGCGATGCAGAAAGAACTGGAGTTCCTTTGAGAACTCCACGGCTCCTGAAATCTCACCTCCATCTTAGAATAATAATAATAATTGTTGCATTTGATACAGCGCCTTATGTCATCAAGACGTCTCAAAGCGCTTCACAGTCGTATTTTGTGGGCGAAATGCACAGTCACTACATTGAGTGACGCAAATTATAATTTTTTTTGAAAGGATTACTGCTCCCGGAAAAGAGATCAGTCAATTGGGCTCATACTTAGTGCTAGGTAGAGGCGTGTGGAGCAAGGAAACTTGCCTAACATTTTGTCCTGCCAGGGAATCAAACCCAGGTCCTCCCCCTTGCGAGGCAAGCGTGCTAACCACTTCACTACAGGACTCCCCGATTCTCAGAATTATAGACTATTACAGCACTGAATTGGCCCATCAAGTCAGTGTTGAAATGCGTCTCTTTGTGAGTTGCCTAACCATTTATTCCTCTATTGTAGTATAGAAACATAACTGTTTAATCTGTGGGATGTCTCTAACCATTGGGGGGCAGCATAGCTGTCGTCTTGTGCCCTATCTTTACACTGCATTCAGGATGGACCTCAGCACAGCTGTGTAATTTCCTGACCAATTCCTCTTATTCACATCTTGCCTCCCAGGGTCCCAACAACTCATTCCTCACAGCACAAAGTCACTCCTGTTCGGTTGCAGCTCTGAATCCTATTGTCTCGAGCAGCTTTTATCTCACAATCTGCTCCCTATCTTCAGGTTTTCAGCCATTGAACCACTACTCTCCTCCTTAAAACCCTCTGTTTCGCGCCCTCACCACTTAGTTTCAAAACTCCACTAAAAGCTTTGGCTGCTAAAATAGAAACAGGAGGAGGCCATTCAGCCCCTCAAGCCTGTTTTGTCATACTGTAAGATCATGGTTGTTCTGTACCTCAAGTCCAATTACCTGCCCATTCCCTGTATCGCTTAATGCTTAATATTGTCACTTTGCTCCTTTCCTCTTTTCACTTTGTTTGGTGGTTCACACGGCCCTTGTAAAGCATATTGAGACATTATGCACAAGTTATGTGAATAAGTTTGAATTCTTGTTAACTTTTACGCTCCAGTTCTTTTGAGGGGGTTAAGGGTACAACTATCGGGAAGAGATGGGAGTTTCTCCCAGTGCCGTGGCTAACAAATCCACTGAATTGGCAATTCGACTCATGTGGGACCTTGCAACACACAAAATGGCTGCCACAAAAAGGCACTACACATAATAATAATAATCCTTGCATTTGATACAGCGCCTTATTACGTCTTCGGGACGTCTCAAAACACTTCACAGGATACACTGTAAAGTGAATTGAGTACATTGGGCAATTACGTAACACCGATTACAGTAAAACTCGTGATAAGTGTGGTAAACATGGAAGTTTGTTGCTCGTTTGTTGCTCACAGTCCAGGGTCAGTGACCTGTCTAGTTCAATTTTAAATGTTATTCTCTTAGGCTGGTCAGCAGATTTGGGAGGGGGTGGAGATGGGTGGGGGGGCAGGAGGGATGTCTGACCAGTTGCACAAGTAAAGAACTCAAGCACTGTTGCACTGAAACACAAACATAGCAGGAATAAAGCTACTTGGTTAACAAAGCTTTGTTACTGAAGCAACCTTGGGCACGGAGACAAATTGTGGAGATGGAGACGTCGTTGACGCCCTTATCAGCGCCTTATCACATTTTCGAGACATCTCAAAGCGCTTCACGGAATATACTGTAAAGTGAATTGACTGTATATTTTGTAGATGAAACGCGGCAGCCAACTGTGCACAGCAGCGTCCCCACAAACAGTGGTGGATTGAACTGACCAAATTATTTTTTTTTGAAGGAATTATTACTCCCAGAAAAACGAACTGCAAATCGCCTAACAACCGGGTTCCTACTTACTGACAGAGGAGTAAGGAAACTTGCCTAAGATTTCACCCTGCCCGGGAATTAAACTGAGTTCTCTCGCTTGCGAGGCGAGTGCTCTAACCACTGAGCTACAGGACAGGAAATGGTTGTGTTGCTTTGGCGGTGAGTGGTTTTATAGGCCGAATGGCCATTTCTTGTTCCAGGTCTTCTCCTTACTTCTGGCTGAAAACCTGGCTTTCGGAGTGAATGTCGGACTCAGCACTACGGAGAATATGGGATAGGATAAGATCCAGGTAAGAGAATTCCTACAAACCTGTTTATTAAGTAAAAGGATAAATATAGACAAGAGAATTTCTTCCTGTCGGGCTGGGCTGGATTCAGCTCTGGGGACAATAGTTCTCAAGCTCCACCCAGCCCTATAACACCATTTTGTTCCAGAATTTATGATTATGCAGATTTTTGGGACGTGAAGCAACTTTGGGCACGGAGACAAATCGTGGAGATGGCGATGTCCTTGAGCGCTTCACAGAATACACTGTAGAATACACTGTAGAGTGAATTGACTATGTATTTGTGGGCGAAACGCGGCAGCCAATTGCACACAGCAGCGTTCCACGAACGGTCGTGGATTGAGTGACCAGATTATTATTGTTTCGATGGGATTATTACCTTACAAAAGGGATTTGGTTTTGCCCAAAAAACAACAAAATGGTCTTCGAGGCTAGGACCAGGTGGTATTCAGGGCTGGAACGTTGTGTCCCAGTGGCGGCTTTGTGTCTGTGTTTTGGTGAAGCGAGATTGCAGGAACGAAGTAATATTTGTCTTTGACAAAGAAATCCAGCGTTCAAGGTTTAACGGTTTAAATGTGACCGTATTCCGAGCTGCCTCTGTGTCTGACGAGTGTGTGTTTGAAGTCAGCAGGTTCCTGTGCGTTGCTGATAGGAATCTTATTTACCCAGCAGTTTGACGTTAATTCATTGACTCAGGAGCCAAAGGGTCGCTGTCTTGAACTTTATTTGTATTTCTCGTTTACAAAGAGATTGAGCTGCTACTCAGGCATGAGCCATTACACCCCCCCCCCCCCCAACAGACAGCCGAAAGATGCTGTGCGTTATTATATTATGTAATAATAATCCTTGATCAAGTCTTCGAGTCTTTCAAAGCGCTTCACTGTGAAGTGAATTGACTGTGTGTTTTGTGGGATGAGTTGCGCAAACGTTCGCAGACCAAGTGGCCAAATTAATTTTTGTTTGTGTGTGTTAAAGGAATTATTATCCCCCCCACCCCCAGAAAAGTGATCCGTGCTGAATTAATTTGTGCTGAACAGTAGAGGCAAAGCAACAAAAAAAAGAGCTTTCTGTTTTGGATGCTAGATAGCATGGCTGCTAGATAACACTAACACAGCTACACACCAGGGTGCGTGTTAGTGGCTTTCCCCAGCCCTTGCTTTTAGCCGCTTTCGTTCAGGGTGAGCTTGTCAAAGAGGTACTCGCCCATGCCGTTTGAAGGCACCCCAAGGCGGATCAAGTTACTGATGTGGTCTCCCAGCTTCTTAATGGCTTCAACCTGCTCGTCCAAGTAGTGAGTCTCCAGGAAGTTGCACAGCTGAAGTAGAAAATTACAGTGAGCTCACTTGCCAGCCCAGAGTGTTGAACCACCCTCCTCGCTCCCTCGTCTCCTTCGAGCCCCGGCTCAAGACCCTCCTCTTCGATCCCGCCTTCGGTCACCCCCCCCTACCCACCCCCACCCCTTCCCGCCCTCCACCCCCTTCTGTTGTTGTCTCCATCTCTCCGGCTGGCATTGAGACCATTTAACGGAGAAAGAAAGGGAGTAATACTCACTTGGGGATCGTTGTGGGTGGAGGCCAGATTGTGCAGGTCCAGCAGGGACTGGTTGACACTCTTCTCCAGATTCAGAGCAAACTGCATCGCCTCGAGACCGTTCCCCCATATGTTCTGATCCGCTTTCTGTGACACAATCGGGCAATGGTCGGTCGGTGAAAAACGTCAGCTCCAGGTCTTAATAATAACTCTTGCGTTTGATATTGCGCCTTATCACGTCCTCGAGACGTCTCAAAGTACTTCGCAAGATATACTGTTAATGTGGATTGACTGTATAATTTGTGGGAGAAATGTGGCAGCCAATTGTGTACAGCAGTCGTGGATTGAGTGCCCAAATTATTATTTTTTTTCGAAGGGATTATTATTAGAATAATAATTCCTATGTTAGGGTAGTGACCGGGTCTGGGTGTTGGTAGTCCCTCCGTCTCGCCCCCTCCCTCGTCTCCTTGAAGGCCCTTCTCAAGACCCTCCTCTTCGACCAGTCACCCTCCTCCCCCACCCCCCACCCTCCTGTTCCCAACCCCCAGCTCGGGTCCAAATCCCTGACTGTCCAGTCCAGCGCCTTGGGACGTCCTCCCAACGTGAAAGGCGCCGTGTAAATGTAATGGTGGTGGCCGTGGTTGGCACTCACCTTGATGTCCAGCAGGTTTATGCGGCCTCCTCGCTGGTTCTGGTACTTGAGGAGCCTCTCTGCATGCTCTTGCTCCTCATGAGACTGCTCCTTGAAGAACTTGGCAAAGTTCTTCAGAGCCACGTCGTCACGGTCAAAGTAGTACGACTGCCAGAGAGAGAGAGAGAGTGAGGTTGGGGAGAAGAGAGACCTGAGTGAGACCAGCTCTGTTACAAAATCAAATCAAGTTTCTTTCCGTCTCCTCCGTGCAACAGTTCAGTTATTCCCACCACCACCACCAACAACTTGGATTTATATAGTGCCCTGCACGCCGGACGGCTTCTCAGAGAGCTTCACAGTAATGGATTCCGGGGTCGAGCCCAGGGGAGGGGGAGGGGAAGGTGACCAAAGGCGCGGTCGAAAAAAAAAGGTCTTCAGCAGAGACCTGAAAGTAGAAAGGGAGGAAGCGAAGGGAATGAGGGAGGAAGTTGCAGATCCTCGGAGCGTAGTGGGTGACGGTGGAGCGGAGGACTCGGGAGACACCACCCCTCAGTAATAACAATGGCAATAGAAAGGGGAGGACAAGAGAATTTTAACTGTGTGCTATGCTATTATCGTGCAGTCCCGTAGCTCAGTGGTTAGAGCCCTCGCCCCGCAAGCGAGAGACCCGGGTTCGATTCCCCGGCAGGGCAAAACCTTGGGCAAGTTTCCTTACTCCACACGCTGCTGTTTACCCAGCAGTTAGTAGGATCGCTGTTCCGGGGATGATAATCCTGTCCAAAAATGTTTTAAAATTATTATAATAATAATAATTTGGTCACTCAAACCACGACTGTTTGTGGGACGCTGCTGTGCGCAGTTGGCTGCCGTTGCCATAAAATATATATCAACTCCCTTTACAGTATATTCTGTGACGCACCTTGCGATGTCTCGAAGACGCGATAAGGGGCTGTATCAAATGCCTCCTGTTGCTATTCTCTCTCCAAGGGGAGTTACGCAGCCTTACTGTTGTACTCTTTACCTCCCTGACTCTCCCCCCACCCCCCCCCACTATGCCTCTGCCATCGACTGAGGCCCAGGGCAGACTCAGAGGGGCACTGCAGTGGCCTTGCAAGGCACATTGTGCACTCCGTACTTCGCTCACGAGAGCACAGATAAACAACCCTAAGGCAGGAGCCGCTGTCGGCGTAAGCCATTCACAGTAGGTTTGGGGGTCAGGTTAACACCGTGTTCTCTCAGTTGAAAACACAAAACGCCAGTTTCTAGGTCAACTTGTTCGTCACAAGATTCCCTGTAACTCAGTGGTTAGACCACTCACCTCACAAACGAGAGACTTGGGTTCGATTCCCGGCAGGGCTAAATGTTAGGCAAGTTTCCTTACTTCACACAGGAAGTAGGAAGCCAGCTGTTAGTCGGTTGCGGTGATAATTGCTTCAAAAAAATAATAATAGTAATAAATGGGTCACTTCAAATCCACGACTGTTTGCGGGACGCTGCCGTGCGCAATTGGCTGCCGCGTTTCGCCCACAAACATAGTCAATTCACTCCATGAAGCGCTTTGAGATGTCTGGAAGACGTGATAAGGCGCTGTATCAAATGCAAGGATAATTATTATTATTAAGACCAGAATAAGAGTTTAGCGAGCATCTCACCATGGAGAGGTAGGTGTAAGAGGCGTACAGCTCCATGTTGACCTGCCGATTGATGGCGGCCTCGCATTCCTGGTGGTAATTCTGACGCACTTGGGAGGTCATGTCTGATCTGCTTTGCAGTCGCACAAGAGAGCAATAAAGAGTAGGAAGGAAGACAGCGAGGGGTAAATTCTCCGAGCAGTTTGAGCGCTATTCCGTTCAAACACTGTTGAAGCAAGAACGGCCTAAAATATTGAGCTGTCTATTCTAAACTGGTATTTATAGCTGCTCGGAGCCAGTGCATGCCCCTCCCTCCTCTCTCTCCCCACCCCGCCACCCCTTTCCCTCCCCATCGTGACTCAGCACAATGCTACTGTCTGCTCGTCCACCCCCCCCCCTCCCTCGGTTAATGACAACATGGGCAAGGGTCAAGGTGCAGTGGACTCATTGTCCCGTGTCTGGATCAAGGACTCAAACGGGTGAGGAAAGGGAGACGGATAGAAATAAAACGCAGTGATGTGATGTCAAAAGCACCGCTGATTTGTTTTTGTGTGGCTCAAAGGCCTGAGATTCTGTTCGTAAAAATAATAATGCATCATAATAATCCTTGCATTTGATACAGAGCCTCATTCACGTCTTCGGGACGTCTCAAAGCGCTTCACAGCCTGCACTGTAAAGTGAATTGGCTGTAAGCTTTGTAGCCAGAAATGCAGCAGCGACACAGTCTAGTTCCCCCTCCTACCCTCTCCGACTTCCTAACCCCGTATCAGTCTGTCAGCTTCCCCGCACTTCCCGCCCTAGCATTGGCGGTCGGGCATTCAGCCTCTCTGCCCCCACACTATGGAACTCTATCCCACGATCCCTCCGCCTCACTCCCTCTCTTGCCTGCTTCAATTCCAGTCTAAAGACCATCCTCTTCGACCGTGGTTTCGGCCACACTCCCAACCCCGATCTCCCCTGCCCTCCCTCCTGACCCCAACTCCCAGCTCGGGTCCAAAAACCCCTGGCTGTCCAGCGCCTTGGGACGTCCTCCCGATATGAAAGGCGTCATATAAATGTAATTTTATTGTTGTTGTTGATACGTGGCTGTTACCGACATTGATCAGCTTGCCTGTGACTGCCTTACAGTGCGCTCCAATTAGTCGGATATTTTATTCGAGTCACATTGAACGCTGATAAATAACTAACCAGTTTGTGACGAGAGGTTAGTTTTGGCTCCAAATTGTGCCTGGATCAGCTGAGTAACAAAGGTTACGACAATCACCTTGTTTGTGTTACTGAGGTCAAACGGCTTTAGTGTGAGCATTTCTCAATTGCCAGCGCTCTCGGAAGATGCTACAGGATGTTTTTATAATAGTGATTTAAACCCCGGGGTCCAGGAACGGTGTGGAGTCCTGTAGCTCAATGGTTAGAGCACTCGGTCGCAAGCGGGCGTTCAATCTCTCTGCCCCCACACTATGGAACACTATTCGCCCTGTCATCTACCGGCAGGTTTCCCTACTCCACACGCCTCTGTTACCCAGCAGTAAGTAGGAACCTGGTTGTTGGCCGATTGGCGGATCGCTTTTCCGATGGTCATAATTCCTTCAAAGAAAGCAATAATAAATTGGGTCACTCAATCCACGACTGTTTGTGGGGAAGCTGCTGTGCGCGATTGGCTGCCACATTTTGCTCACAAAATACAGTCAATTCACTTTGCAGTATATTCTGTGAAGCGCTTTGAGACGTCTCAAAGCCGTTATCTGGCGCTATATCAAATGCAAGGATTATTATTACTATTATCTTCTCGCTCTCTCTTCCAGTGTTTGGCTGTCCATTGTTTTTCTTCCCTGTCTGGTATCTCTTAAGCACTCTGGGACAATATCAGGTGAATTAACGCTCAACTGAAAAGGTAGAGAGGGCCTCAGTTTAATGGCTCATCAGAAGGATGGCCTCTCTGAATCGGCTCCGGCCTTCTGCATGTCCCTCGTGCCGCCTGTTCCACCATTGATGGCCGCGCTTCAGCTACTACGCCCTGAAACTCTGTAGCACTCTTCCCCTATCCCTATGCCTTGCCCCTTCCTTCCCCATCTTCAAGTCGCGCCTTAAGACATTCCTATTCGTACGGTCACCTCCTCCTCTGTGGCTCTGGTCAAGCACTCTGGGATGTTACACTGCTGTGTGAACACGAGTTGTTGTTGTTGACACCTTACTGAATAAAATGCCCTTTAATATTTGAGCTGTTGAACTGGACCACGTTCCAAAGGTGAGAAGTTGCATCGATTAAATCACAAGGTCTTTATTGCTTGTACTGTGTGTGACAGCACTTTCCAATCTGGCAGTTGACTGTGTGGTTGTTTTATTACAGGACTTCACTCACATTCAACAACAACAACAACTTGCATTTACATAGCACTGTTCACGTGGGGTAGCGTCCCAGGGCGCTTTTACTCCAGCAGGTTCACAAATGACTGTTTGTGGGGACCCTGCTGTGCGCAATTGACTACCGCCTTTCGCCCACAAAACACACAGTCACTGCACTTTACAGTATGTCCTGTGAAGCGCTTGGAGGTGTCTCGAAGACGTGATAAGGCGCTGTATCAAATACAAGGGTTATTATTATTACCCTGTATCTTATAAGATAAGTCTTATTTTTCCAGCCCCTGCTTTGCCTGTCTCTTCTACTCAGAGTGTTTGTTTCCTAGACTAGGCCCCTGGCAACGTGTGCAGAGCTGCTTCATGTTACACAGAGATCAGAGGTTGGGATGGAAAACATCTCTTATCAACCCGAGCTCCACTTTGTCCCCACGATACAGCATTTAACACTTGGGGAGTGAGGAGCTCCTGCAGATGAAGCCTTCTAGTGGTGGCACTGGGTTCTTACAGAGTAAGAATGATGATAATAATCCTTGTGTTTGACACAGCGCTTGATCACATCGTCGAGACGTCTCAAAGCACTTCACAGGATACACTGTAAAGTAAAGTGAATAGCCTGTGTATTGTGTGCCAATTGCGCACAGGTGGGCTCCCTATCCAGTACCTCATATGATTGCGTCAAAAAAAGTTATTCATAAAAAAGATGAATTCTAAGTGGCGCTCCCCACTTTTCCTTGCAATGCTGTGAGCGGTGCTGCATTACCAAAGGTGGCAACCTTCAGGTGGTATGTTAAACCAAGTTCCTGCGGGTGATAAAGCTCCACTGACATTGGTGAATATATAGGAGTTTCTCCCTGTGTCCTGGCCAGCAATCCCCCACGTAAGGATACTTACTGTGTGCAGACAGCTTGCCTACAAAAACAGTCACTACGCTTGCTAGTAATTTCTATAAAGACCGTTCAATGCTTGGCTCAGTGGTAGCGCTCCCCCCACCCTCTCGCTTTCATTTCTGAGCGTGTGGGTTCAAGCTCCAGGACTTGGAATCACACAGTCTAAGCTGATGCTCCAGTGCAGCGCTGGAGGGGGCGCGTTGTCAGAGATGCCGTCCTTCGGATGAGACGTTAAACCTCACACCCAATCTGCCCGTTCAGGTGGATGTTAAAGATCTCCCGCTGTTGGGAAAGAGAAGGGAGTTTCTCTCTCCCGGTATCCTGGCCGACAATCGGTCGGTCACTCAACGACATGGCTGTTTGTGGGGGGACATTGCAATGAGAAATTGGCTGCCGCATTTCGCCCACAAAATACAGTCACTGAACTTTCCGATGTATTCGTGAAAAGCTTTGAGACGAAGGAATGAAATGAAGAGGTGCTGTGTCAAGCGCAAGGATTGTTTGCATTATTATGTAGAGAGTTTTATAAAGATGCATGATCTTCTTCCTATCTTTTCGTGGCTTGCGTGCATCAGTGTTGGGCAGCGCCCTGCCATCACAGAGTATCTGCCCAGCCCACACCTCCCAGGGGGCTACTGATAACAAACCGTTAGAACGTCTGCTTGTCTCTCGCCATTTTCGTTCGCGGTTTTTGTTAAAGCGAATGTAAGGGAAGCTCTGAGGGTCCTTGGGCTCACTTACTGACCGCCCCCCTCCCACCCAGCCCTCCCGAGGTGCTGTGTTGTCGAGACGTCTCAAAGTCTGGTAGAACAGATGATCCTCACGGGGTGTGTGTGTTAAAATTTTTCCTGCCCCAAGATTATGACAGAAGTACAACAAATTAAACCTTCAGCCCATTTGATTTCATCCCTCTCCCAGAATATAGCTTTAATTACAGCATTAATCATTGCAGCACCGACTGGGCAGACAGTGTAGAGGGAGCATTACTCCGTCTCTAAGATTTCCTAAGTGTTGTCCTGTTGCTCAGTGGTTAGAGCCCTCGCCTCGCAAGCGAGAGGACCTGGGTTCGATTCCCAGGGGTCAGGGAAAAACGTTGGGCAAGTTTCCTTACTCCAACACGTCTCTGTTTACCAGCAGTATGTAGAAACAAGGTTGTTAGTCGATTGTCGGATCGCTTTTCCGGGTTAATAATGCCTTCAAAATAATAAATTAGTCACTTCAATCCCCGACTGTTTGTGGGGACGCCGCTGTGCGCAATTGGCTGTCGCGTTTCGCCCACAAAATATACAGTCAATTCACTTTACAGTCTATTCCGTGAAGCGCTTTGAGACATTTTGAAACGTGATAAGGCGCTGTATCAAATGCAAGGATTATTATTATTACCCTGTGGGTGGGTGGGTGGCTTGTCTGCCTTGTGTGACAAACTGACAGTCTCAGAGCTCGGCCCCTCCTGCAGGCACTCCCCAGAGGGTAGAAGACAGTTAGAGAGAGTTCTGTCGATCTCTCCTGCCGACAATGGAGTCTCGGATCAGACAGAACTACTGCCCGGACTGTGAGAGAGCAATCAATCGGCTCATAAACCAGGAGTATTACACGTCCTACGTGTACCTGGCTATGGTGAGTGACCTCTCCAGCACTTAGCTAACGTTACTGCACCTCCCTGCCCTCCACCCCTCCTAATCCCAACCCCCAGCTCGAGTCCAAATTGTTGGCAGACCAGCATCTTGGGACGTCCTCCCGATGTGAAAGGCGCCGTGTAAATGTAATGCATTGAGCTTTACTGTCTCTCTGACCCTGACCTGGGAGTGTGGACATTCAGTGTAGAGGGAGCTTTACTGTGTCTGACCCTGACCTGGGAGTGTGGACACACAGTGTAGACGGAGCTTTACTGTGTCTGACCCTGACCTGGGAGTGTGGACGCACAGTGTAGAGGGAGCTTTACTGTGTCTCTACCCCTGACCTGGGAGTGTGGACGCACAGTGTAGAGGGAGCTTTACTGTGTCTCTACCCCTGACCTGGGAGTGTGGACACACAGTGTAGAGGGAGCTTTACTGTCTCTAATGATTACTTCTCATTCCAGTCATTCTTCTTTGAACGTGATGATGTAGCACTGAAACATTTTGCGAGGTTTTTCCACGGGATGTCGGAAGCTGAACGGAGAGCCGCCGAGGAGCTTATCGACTATCAGAAGAGGCGCGGGGGGAGAATGTACCTGCAGAGCGTTGAGGTATGTGCGTCATCTCATTAGTCCTGGAACTCAGTGGTTAGAACACTCGCCTCGCAAGCGAGAAACCTGTGTTCAATTCCCGGGCCGGGGCGAAACATTGGGCAAGTTTCCTTCCTCCCCACACACACGCGCCTCTGTTTACCCAGAAAGGAACCCGGTTGTTAGTCGATTGGCGGATCGCTTTTCCGGGGGTAATCACTAAAAAAAAAGAATAAATTGGCCACACAATCCGCGACTGTTTGTGGGGACGCTTCTGTGCGCAATTGGCTGCCGCGTTTCACCCACAAAGTATACAGTCACTGCACTTTACAGTACATCCTGTGAAGCGCTTTGAGACTTCTCGAAGACCTGATAAGGCCTGTATCATATGTGAGGATTATTGTTATTATTAACAGCCCTGCAAGGCCATGTTTTTCTCCCTCTCCCCCTCTGCCAACCGTGATATGATCTGAGCTGTTTTATTCACGCAGAAGCCAGCCCAGAGTGAGTGGCAGAATGGACTGGAGGCGTTGCAGTGTGCTCTGCAATTACAGAAATCCCTCAACCAGTCTCTCCAAGAACTACACCACCTCGCTGCCGACAGGAATGATCCTCAAGTATGTGGCCTCACTCTCTCTTGCTCTCTCTCTTTCACTCGCTCGCTCACTCACTCACTCCCACGCTCTCACTCACTCTCTCCCACGCTCCTTCACTCCCGCACTCTCTCTCACTCATTCTCTCACTCATTCTCACTCATTCACTCCTCACTCCCACACTCACTCTCTCTCATTCACTCTCTCACTCCTCACTTCCCACACTCCCTCACTCACCCACCCACTCAAGTTGTACCCTGTGTCGGATGATTGTGCTGAGCAGGAGACCGGATACAGTAATTCCTGAAGCGTTTACAGAACTTCCCACCTTGTTGTTTGCAGCTGTGTGACTTCCTGGCCTCGCGGTTCCTGAGCCACTGTGTGCAGACGGTGCAGATGCTGGGAGACTACAGCAGCAGCCTGGCATCGCTGGGCGCTGGGCAGAGCTTGGGCGTGGCCGAATACCTCTTTGACCAGCACACGCTGGTCTCTAGGTCATGAACGCCCGACTTGCCGGAGATTCTTCCTGGCACTCCCCGCCACCGAGCTCTCCCCGCAGCTCGGGGTGAGACTCCGCCACTGTCAGGCGCCCCGCGTGAAGAGCGCTGCGTAAAAGCAAGTAGTTGTCGGAGCCGAACAACAGCTTGCACTCACCTAGCGCCTTTTCCACAGGGCAGAGCCGCAGAACCCTCTGGGACGTTGTGGGAAGCCCTCTGTGCCTGGATTCTCCGTCAATAAATAGCTTCATGGCAAAGCACTCACTCTCCCAGACTCCTGTCTTATTTCTGATGATGATGATGACGGTAATAATAATTTGGCCGCTCAACCCACGACAGTTTGTGGGGACGTCGCTGTGCGCAATTGGCTGCCGCGTTTCGCCCACAAAATACACAGTCGCTACACTTTACAGCATGTCCTGTGAAGCACTTTGAGACATCTCGAAGACGTGAGAAGGCACTGGGTCAAAATGCAAGGATTATTATTAATAATAAAACCTGCCAGAGTTCCACCAGCAGCTCAGTCTCCAATCTAGTCCCTGATCTGGTGCTTGGTTCGTTCATTCCAAAGCAATTGGTGGGTTAGTTGTTATAATAATCGTTGCAGTTGATACGGAGCCTTATCACGTCGTCGAGACGTCTCAAAGCACTTCCCAGAACATACTGTAAAGTGATTTGACTGTACGTTTTGTGGGCGAAACGCGGCAGCCGATTGCGCCCACAAACATCCCCACAAACAGTCGTGGATTGAGCGACCTGATTTTTTTTTTATTGAGGGATTATTACCCCGGAAAGCGATACGCCAATCGAAGAGCAACTGGGTTCCTGCTTACTGCTGGGTAAACAGAGACGTGACCGTGGGGGGAGTAAAGAAACTTGCCTAAGGTTTCGCCCTGACCCCCCCCACCCCCCTCCGGGAATCAAACCCATGTCCTCTCGCTCGCAAGGCGACCGCTCTAACCACCGAGCTACAGGGACTTCCTTTTTTTAGCACGGAAGTAAAGGGATGAATAGAAAGCCTTTGTTGTGAGGGTGTGGAAAAAAAAGGAGGATGATTGGACCGAGGGGGAGGAGGATACAGTAATTTCTGGGGTGTTTACCGACCCTTCGCTGGCGTTTCATTCCTTAAAAGCCGTTCCCTTTCGATCTTTGTGTCAAAACACATTCCCGCCGAACGAAACCACCTGCGATACCGGGTGGCACCTTCGAAGAGGAACGAACACACGCTCCGGCAACTCATTGAGCCTCTTCTGCAATTTAAAATCAACGTAATGCAGAGAAATAGACTTCAATAACCTTTCGTGATTCCCTCGGATTTCTCTCAACCCTTCGTAAGCTTTCCCGGTTGATCCTGGGTACGGGCGCGGGTGGGGGTGACTTAATTTATTGTGAGATGCTCTGTGCGAAATTCTCTCGAGTTGGTTCTTTTATAAGCGTGTGTAACTGTGGCCTCCTGTTTGGCCCTCAACCCCTCCACTCCGCCATCGGTGGCCGTGCCTTCAGTCACTAAAGTCCCACCTAAAGATCTTTTTTGCTCGTGATTACGGTCACCTTCCTCTCCCCCCCCCCACCCCCCCTCTCGGCTCGGAGTCAGACTCCGCTACCGACAAGCGATCCAGGACGCTCCCCCAGCAGCACATAGGAACCCGGTTGTTAGTCAATTGGCGCATCGCTTTCCGGGGGTAATAATCCCTTCGATTGGGCAAAAAAAATGCGGTCCCTCAATCCACGGCTGTGGGGACGCTGCTGTGCACGATTGGCTGCCGCGTTTCGCCCACGAAACACGCTGCTGGCATTAGGAGCGTAATCCCGTGACGCTCGTGAAGAGGTGATAAGGCGCTGGATCAACCGCAGGGATCAAGCACAGTGCTGTAATTGTACCCAGCGCGTGATATTCAAACCTGAACACAAAAGGGCGGGGAGAGAAGTAATCCCAGTAGTTTTTTTCAGAGCGCCGGCACAGGTGTAGGGATGGGCCGACCGATCTGCGGGGATTAAATTCGACGAGAGTTAATTGCGCCAACGAACTCTGCGCCTGTGAGGGTTGGTGCCGTTTTGAGTCGACGTTCTCCCCCCGAGGAACAAGGCGGGCTGAGAAGGAGAAAGTAGGAGGGAAGGTGAGGGGTGTGTGCGTGTGTGTGGGGCGTTGGGTCGGAACAATTACAGAGAGACGTAACCCTGGTAACTCTACGATGTATTGCTTTATTGCCTCTAACTCTGTGTTCATTTGGAACTAGATTGAAGGGGAGGTCCTGTTTTTCCTGCTGCCGTCACCCTGACAGGAGAGTGACAGGGGAATCTGCCACAGGAAGAAGCTCACCTGCACTGAGGTTACACCACCTTCCAGGTGAGTTTAAGCCGCAATAGTTGGTCGGGCTGACTGTACGCAGGGTCTTACGTTGTCTGTCCTGCGAGTGACGGTGAGATGGAGGGAGCTTTGCTCTGCCTTGTGCTGTAACTGAGCTTGCGATTTAGGGGTGGGACAGCTCGTAGCGACGTCCTGTAAGAGACACCGCAAGGTCAGGACCTGATGTCAGGACTGAGTGAGTAGGGAGTCACCGCCTCGCTAGAAAATTGTCTACAAATAGTAGTCCCTTTTGCAAGGGGAGTTGTACACACCTGTAACCAGGATGAGACAGGTGTAAAGATTAGATGGTGCCTGTGGCTTACACAATGTAGGTGAAAGGCTTTTAAACCTGTTGCTACTTGGCCTGTGCTTGTCACTGCAATGAGGTAAGGTGAAAGGGTTAATCTCCGTCACTCTGTAGCCCTGTGTTTACCATTAGAGTCATGTCATGTCTGTCCTGGTGATGAGTAATAATCCTGGCATTTGATACAGCGCCTCATCACGTCTTCGAGGCGTCTCAAAGCGCTTCACAGGATACACTGTAAAGTGTAGTGACTGTGCATTTTGTGGGTGAAACGCGGCAGCCGATTGCGCACAGCAGCGTCCCCACAAACAGTCGCGGATTGAGTGACTATTGTTGTTTTTTGAAGGGATTATTACCCCCGGAAAAGCGATCTGACAATCGACCAGCAATCAGGTTCCTTACTTACAACTGCTAAGTAAACAGAGAAGTGTAGAGTAAGGAAACTTGCCCACGTTTCGTCCTACCCGGGAATAGACCCCAGGTCCTCTCGCTCGCGAGGCGAGGGCTCTAACCACTGAGCTACAGGACACTTTCAATCGGTGCAGAACTTGGGAAATCTCTTAAATGAGGTCCTAACCTCATCAGCGCTGCGGCCAAAATAAAACGAGTTCATCCCCAAATTGTGTCCGCCAACAAAATAAACAGTCAATTCATAGAAAGAGCAATGGGATATATAGCCCCTCGAGCCGGTTCTGCCATTCATGGGCTGATCTGTACCTCAAGTCCATTACTTGCCCTTGTCCCATATCCCTTAATACCCGGACCTAACAAACATCTTGGAAATGTGAATGGATCCACTCATAACCCACAGCCCTTTTGGGGGAGAAAGTTCCAGATTTCCGCGAGGACTACTATTAATAATAATAATAATAACAATAATACTCGCATTTGATACAACGCCTTATCACGTCTTCGAGACTTCTCAAAGCGCTTCACAGGATAGGCTGTAAAGTGAATTGACTGTGCACTTTGCGTGAGTGAAACGCGGCAGCCAATGTGGCAGCCTCCCACAAACAGCCGCGGATTAGAGTGACCAATTTATTAGTAGTAGTATTTTAATGGAAAGACAGCTCAAAGTTTCCCATTGATGGTTATTCAGCCTCAGCGTTTCCGATCTGTCTTTCGTGTTGCTGGGGTCGCGGCATTGTGTGTGCATCCGCGATCATGTTAGTTTTACTCTTCTGTAGGTTTTGGGTTCATGTGCACAGAGTAAAGTCCACTCCCAGCTGCCCGTAACGTACAGCAGTTTCTCTTCCTCTCGGCAGCACCTCAACGAAAGAGGGAAGGAATTTCTCACGGACAGATCGGAGATGAAAGCTTGGGTTAGGCGAGCGTCTTAGCCGAGAGGTCTTGGTGTGCGAGTGTCGTGCCTGAGATGGATCTGAGATTGGGGCTTCTCCAGCTCCTGGTCATTTTCCAGGCCTCCGCCCAGGTAAGAAGGGATTTTCCTCATTGCGTGGATCAGTTCGCTGCCTGTCCGGTGACCCTCAAATTATTTTTTTTCTTTTTATTTTACTACCTACCCACAAACCAAACTCTTCTCCACGGGAGGGTTTTGAACGTGTTAAATCAAACGGGACGTAAAGTTACGAGTGAGAATGGACCAAGTGTAAGAGCGAGAGTAAACCAATGTTTGAATAAGGACTGTGGGTGTGTGTGTTTCAGTGAGTACATTTTGTAGCTCGATGTTTGTTGGGTCAGGGGATCAAGGGATATGGGGCAAGGCCAGGCAATTGGGCTTGAGGTACAGATTAGCCGTGGTCTTATAGAATGGTGGAACAGGCTTGAGGGGCTGAATGACCTCCTCCTGTTACTGTGTGTGTTTCAGTGAGTACATGTGTTTGTGTGTGTGTGTGTATGTGTGCGTGTGTGTTTCAGAACATTGGGTACAGAGGAGCAGAGAGTGTTTCTGAAGGTGCTATGGCAGCCAATTCCACACAGCGGTGTCCCTCAAACAGTCACGGTGGAAGAAAAAAAGAGAAGAAGAAAAGAACTTTCATTAGGGGGGGTAATTTTTGGCAGGACTTGGAAGGGTGGGGTTGTGAGCTGGTGATTTAATCTCTCAGGTGACTGCAGGCAGCTCTGTGTGTGTATATATGTGTATGTGTATATGTGTGTGTGTATGTGTGTGTGTGTGTGTATATGTGTGTGTGTAGTCATGACATAGACTGCAGCACTCACTGAAAGAGGATGTGGTGGTTCCCACCTGTTAACTCAATCATTCAGAAATTAGACAGAGGGAAGTGACTGATGTCTGAAGAGAAACAGTTTTGTGGCCCTATGTGTCTTGTCAGCCTTTCCTTCAGATTACGTGTGTGTGTGTGTGTGTGTGTGCACCTCCCCGCCCCCCCTGGACTGTGGTGTGTATCAGATGTGTGGAGCCCAGAAGCTCAGTGGTTAGAGCCCTCGCAAGCGAGAGGAGCTGGGTTTGATTCCAGGGTCAGGGCGAAATGTTGGACAAGTTTCCTTACTCCACACGCTCACACACACACACACATACACACGCGTCTCTGTTTACCAGCAGTAAGGAGGAACCCAGTGGTTAGTCGATTGTCGGATGTCTTTTCCGGGGGTAATAACCCCTTCAGAAGACTAAATTGGTAACTTCAATTCACCACTGTTTGTGGGGACGCCGCTGTGCGCAATTGGCTGCCGCGTTTCGCCCGCAAAATATACAGTCAATTCACTTTACAGTGTATCCTGTGAAGCGCTTTGAGACGTCTCAAAGACGTGATAAGATACTATATCAAATGCAAGGATTATTATTCTTATCATCTGGTTTCTTAAATGAGTCCAGTGACTTGGCCTCAAACTGTTCCCAGAAACTATTCTAGCTGTTAATTCCCCCTCTCACTAAATGACTTCCTGGTATTGAAACTGTTATCACATCCTCTGATTCCTGTCCCTCAATGTATCTGAGAATGTCTGGGTTTACTTTCCCAATCCCTATCAATCAGAAACTGACAGTTAACCTTATTCATCTTTCATTCCAAAGTCTACCTTTATTACTGAGTGAGTCATGAGTTATCAGCCCCACAAGCGGAAGCATGTTCTCCCCCCACCCAACTCTCCCACCTCCCCCCCCCACTCCCTCTCCCCACCAAAGCTCTCCTCCACCCCTGAGTATAATAATAATAATCCTTGCATTTGTTATAGTGCCTTATCACATCGTTGAGACGTGTCAAAGGGCGGAGGTGGGGGTGAGCTATTTGTCTCCTCAGTAATTTATTTTCCTTCCTCATTTCGCAGGAGAATGTCAATAATTGTTCTGGTAAGTCTCTCAGTTCCATTTAGGGGTACAGTACGGTCTAGAATAGGAGGGGAGGTGGGGGTGTTGGGGAGCATCATTTTGGCCGCACACTATTCCCCCCCCCGTGGGCCAGATGCGGAAGGTGAGAGGGTGGCCGAAGCCGTGGTCGAAGAACAAGGTCTTTAAACGGGACTTGAAGGAGGCAAGAGAGAAGGGGCGAGGCGGAGGGATTGCGGGATAGAGTTCCCGAGTGTTAGGGGGTGGGGAAGTGGGTGAAAGAAGGGTGAGGTGGGGAGTCACTGGCTGGGCAGGGGGGCAGTGAGGTGGGGGTGGGAGCGGAGGAAGGAAACACGGTAACCAGTTTCTGAGGCTTGTGGGAGGGAGGTGTCTCATCATTTTTTCCCCTTTTGCCCAATTCAGGTGTGACGGATATCAAAGTGGAGCCTGGAAGCACAACGCAACTGAAAATCACCTGGACAAACCCGACCACACCGTTTGTTTCAATTCGTTGGATTGTAGCTGATCAAGGAGAAAATATAACTGATCAAACCAATAAAGTGACGGTTTCTAACCTCGATCCTGGGCAACAATACGATGTCACAATCACAGTCTTGGCGCCGAACTGCTCGGAGAACGCCACATCTAAAGGAACCACAAGTGAGTGTTTGCTCTCGCACTAAATACACAGGAAATCTTCTGAAACAGCGGGAGATGTGGTCCTCAGCTACCGATCTCTTCCAGTTTCTTCCCCCCCCCACCCCTCCCCCTCTTTCCTGGACTCGTTCTCTACGCTCAGGGCTTGGTCTGTCATCCTCAGCTTCCCTCCCTCCCATCTCCCCTCGCACTCGCACAGCGACACCGGAGAACACAACCAGTGAATCACGTTGAATATAAGCCACAACCAGTAAGTGACCTCGTCACCTACTGTAGCTCAGGGGTTAGATAGAGCGCTCACATCACAAGGGAGAGAACCCGGGTTCGATTCCCGAGCGGGTCCAAGTGAAACCTTGAGCGAGTTTCCTTATGGCCCCCCCCCACACACACACACACATCTGTTTACAAATATACAGTCAATTCACTTTACAGTGTGTTCTGTGAAGCGCTTTGGGACGTCCTCCCGATGTGAAAAGCGCTATATCAAATGCAAGGATTATTATTATTATATTATTATTACCAGCAGTCAGTAGGAACCCGGTTGTTAGCCGATTGGCGGATCGCTTTCTGAGGGTAATAATCCCTTCAAAAAAAAAATAATTTGGTCACTCAATCCACGACTGCTGTGCGCAATTGGTTGCTGCGTTTCGCAGACAAAATATACAGTCAATTGACTTTACAGCACAAAGTGAATTGCTTTGAGACGTCTCGAAGACGTGATAAGGCGCTGTATCAAATGCGAGGATTATTATTACTATTAATATTATTCTTGTTGTAACTGTTCCACAGATCCTTCTCAGGTCACGAATGTAACTGTAGAGAACAGAACAACAGAGTCGCTGACTGTGACGTGGAAGGCACTTGAGGATGTCAGAAAGGATGAATACACTTACAACGTTAGTGTCACAGGTCGTGTGGACCTAATCTGTGACAATCCAAAAGCTCAGGAATGTACTGTGCCCGGGCTGGAGCCTGGATTGCAGTACAATGTCAAAGTGCAGTCAATTACACCAGAGAACACAGTCAATGAATCAGTAGCAATATCAGCTACAACCAGTAAGTATAATGGAGTCCCTGTAACTCAGGGGTTAGAGCCCTGGCCTCGCAAGTGAGAGGACCCGGGTTCGATTCCCAGGCAGGTCAGGGCAAAACCTCAGGCGAGTTTCCTTATTCCACACACGCGCACACGCAAACACACACGCCTCTGTTAACCAGCAGTCAGTAGGAACCCGGTTGTTAGTCGATCGGCGGATCGCCTTCCGGGGGTAATAATCTCTTCAAAGTAATAATAATTTAGTCACTCAATCCACGACTGTTGTGCGCAATTGGCTGCTGCGTTTGGCCCACAAAATATACAGTCAATTGACTTTACAGCACAAAGTGAATCGCTTTGAGACGTCTCGAAGACGTGATAAGGCGCTGCATCAAATGCGAGGATTATTATTACTATTAATATTATTCTTGTTGTAACTGTTCCACAGATCCTTCTCAGGTCACGAACGTAACTGTAGAGGAGAGAACAACAGAGTCGCTGACTGTGACGTGGAATACACCTGAGGATGGCAGAAAGGATAATTACACTTACAACGTTCGTGTCACAGGTCGTGTGGACCTAATCTGTGACAATCCAAAAGCTCAGAAATGTACTGTGCCCGGGCTGGAGCCTGGATTGCAGTACAATGTCAGCGTGCAGTCCGTTACACCAGAGAACACAGTCAGTGAATCAGTAGCAATATCAGCTACAACCAGTAAGTATAATGGAGTCCCTGTAACTCAGGGGTTAGAGCCCTCGCCTCGCAAGCGAGAGGACCCGGGTTCGATTCCCAGGCAGGTCAGGGCGAAACCTCAGGCGAGTTTCCTTATTCCACACACGCGCACACGCAAACACACACGCCTCTGTTTACCAGCAGTCAGTAGGAGCCCGGTTGTTAGTCGATTAGCGGATCGCTTTCCGGGGGTAATAATCCCTTCAAAGTAATAATAATTTGGTCACTCAATCCACGACTGTTGTGCGCAATTGGCTGCTGCGTTTGGCCCACAAAATATACAGTCAATTGACTTTACAGCACAAAGTGAATCGCTTTGAGACGTCTCGAAGACGTGATAAGGCGCTGTATCAAATGCGAGGATTATTATTACTATTAATATTATTCTTGTTGTAACTGTTCCGCAGATCCTTCTCAGGTCACGAACGTAACTGTAGAGAACAGAACAACAGAGTCGCTGACTGTGACGTGGAAGGCACTTGAGGATGTCAGAAAGGATGAATACACTTACAACGTCAGTGTCACAGGTCGTGTGGACCTCATCTGTGACAATCCAAAAGCTCAGGAATGTACTGTGCCCGGGCTGGAGCCTGGATTGCAGTACAATGTCAGCGTGAAGTCAATTACACCAGAGAACACATTCAGTGAAGTACATCAAATATCAGCCACAACTAGTAAGTGACCTCGTCAACTCTCAAAGGGCCCGTGTGCGGTAGACTCCACAGAGCACGAGACTCGCTGTGCGTGTTTCAGCTCCGGGCTGGGGCCCAGGAGTCAACTGTGCTTTGAGACTTCTCGAAGACGTGAGAAGGCTTTTTATTTTTTTATTTTTATTTATTTATTCTTTTGCGAGAATTTTTATTATTATTACTGTTATTGTAACTGTTCCACAGATCCTTCTCAAGTCACCGGCATATCCATAAGGGACAGAACAACAGAGTCGCTGACTGTGACGTGGAATGCACCTGAGGATGGCAGAAAGGATAATTACACTTACAACATCGCTGTCACAGGTCGTGTGGACCTAATCTGTGACGATCCAAAAACTCAGGAATGTACTGTGCCCGGGCTGGAGCCTGGATTGCAGTACAATATCAGCGTGCAGTCAGTTACACCAGAGACCACATTCAGTGAATCAGTAGCAATATCAGCTACAACCAGTAAGTATAATGGAGTCCCTGTAGCTCAGGGGTTAGAGCCCTCGCCTCGCAAGCGAGAGGACACGGTTTCGATTTCCGGGTGGGGCGACATGTTGGGCAAGTTTCCTTACTCCCCCACCCTCCCCCTCCCCCAAACACACACGCACGCCTATGTTTACCAGCAGTAAGTTGGAACCTGGTAGTTAGTTGATTGGCGGATCGCTTTTCCGGGGGTAATAATTAATTTAAAGAATTAATTAGTCACTTCAATCCACGACTGTTTGTTTGGGACGCTGCTGTGCGCAACTGTCTGCCGCGTTTCGCCCACAAATACGCACTGTAACTCTGCTCCCACAGATCCTTCACCCGTCACCAGTATATCTGTGTTGATCAGAACAACAACGTCGTTGACTGTGATGTGGACGCCATCAGAAGATAGCAGAAAGGAATCCTACACTTATAGCGTCGTTGTCACAAGTGAGAATGGAACTTGGAACGACAGTACTCCCCAAGGTGCTGAGCAGTTAGACCTGCAAGGGCTGCAGCCGGGTTTGCGATACAACGTCAGCGTGTACTCAGTCACACCAGAGAACACAATCAGCGAACCACTTTCTGAATCGAACACGACAAGTAAGTGACCTCTTAAATCCCCTCCACTAGTTTGCGGGACACTGTGCCGGGCGCAATTGGCTGCCGCGTTTGGCCCAAGAAACACGCAGTCACTACACGTTACGGTGTATCCCGTGAGGCGCTTTGAACCCCGTGATAAGGGGCTGTATCAAATGCGAGGATTATTATTTTTATTATTATTAATAGTATTAGTATGAATTAGTGTTATTAATTAGTATTCGTTCATATTAATTCGTATTAATTAGTATTAATCTATATTAATCAGTATTATTTAGTAATAGTATGGATGATTGTTGGTATTAATAATGATTATTATTGATTATTTAAAAAAATATTGTTAATATTATATTCTCTGACAGGAGAGAAAAAAAAGAATAGGTGTCCAGACAACATCAGTGTCACAAACGATGCTGGTGACAGGTTAAAACTTTAATCCTTTAATAATAATAATAATAATCCTTGCATTCGTTACAGCGCCTTATCATACCTTCGAGACGTCCCAAAGCTCTTCACAGGTTACACTGTAAAGTGTAGTGACTGTGTATTTTGTGGGCGAAACACGGCAGCCGTCTGCGCCCAGCAGCGTCCCCACAAACAGCCAACAACAACAACTTATACAGCGCCCTCCACGAAGAGTAGCGCCTTAGAGCGCTTAAAGTCATGGGTTGAGCGACCGATTTATTATCATTTTATTTCTTGACGCTTCACAGATCCTGAGCACACCCCTGGTATCACTTGCTACCGGCGTTCCGGTTACACCCTTACCGTGCGCTGGCTGAGGCCGAGAGGACGTTACACGGGATTTAACGTGTCTCTGAACGCAAAACCCCCGGTGAACGACAATTACACCAACTCTCTGACGGGAGAATTCAAGGATCTTTACCCGGGGAGGACTTACACCGTGACTGTCTACACCCAGCTGGACAAGATCCGCAGCCAAAAGGCCACCGAGGAATGTACCACGGATCCTGCACGTGAGTCTAGCCGTGTGCCCGAGCTCTGGGTGTCTGTGTGTTTTTGTGTGTGTGTGTGTGTGTTTGTTTGTGTGGGTGTGTTCCCCTTCAGCACTCGCAAGGCTCCAAGCTGGGGTTCGGGATCAGGAAGGGTGGAGGGCAGGGGGTGACCGAAGGCTCGGTAAAAGAGGGAGGGTCTTGAGACAGGCCTTGAAGGGAGGGGGTACCAGAGGGAGAGAAGGAGCAGGGAGCCAGAGATCAATCATACTGTCATTTCTCTGCAGCCATCATCGCCGGAGCTGTCGTTGGCTCCTTACTTGGCCTTGTCCTGATTGTGTTATTGCTGTTCTTCCTCACCAACCGGTACAGGCGGTAAGTAGCACACATGCCAGGATTGGTTCTACATCTGGTCGGGACAGTGTAGAGGGAGCTTTGCTGTGTCTCTAACCCTGACCTGGGAGTGTGGACGCACACTAGAGGGAGCGTTACTGTGTCTCTAACCCTGACCTGGGAGTGTGGACGCACACTAGAGGGAGCGTTACTGTGTCTCTAACCCTGACCTGGGAGTGTGGACGCACAGTGTAGAGGGAGCTTTACTGTGTCTCTAACCCTGACCTGGGAGTGTGGACGCACAGTGTAGAGGGAGCGTTACTGTGTCTCTAACCCTGACCTGGGAGTGTGGACGCACAGTGTAGAGGGAGCTTTACCCTGATCTGGGAGTGCTAAATCTGTCTGGGAGCGAGTAGTTAGATCAATAATCGCTGATCTTTGTGTTCCAGGAAACATGTACGACCAGAATTCTCAAACATGAAGACTCTGGACAGTGTGTAAGCTTTCCCTTCTCTCCTCTTGTTCGATCTACAAGCTTTAAACACAAACTTATGGGAGCCAAACACCTAATAATAATAATACTAAAATAATAATCCTTGCATTTGATATAGCACCTCATCACATCGTTGAGACATCTCAAAGAATTTACTGTAAAGTGAATTGACTATATTTTGTGGACAGCCAATTGAGCGCAGCAGTGTTCCACAAACAGTTGTGGATTGATCGATCGATTGAAGCGATTATTGGCCCCCAGAAAGCGATCCACCAATTGTCCAACGACCAGGTTCCTACTTACTGCGGGGTAAACAGAGGTGTGTGGAGTAAGGAAACTTGCCTAAAGTTTGGCCCTGCCCGGGAATTGAACCCAGGTCCTTAGTTCAGGCAGTTTAGTGTTGCAGAGTATTTCACTGTGGTTGCGCCCTGATCTGACCCCAACCCAGACACGGTCAGGAACAGGAGCCCCGACTGATATTTTCCCCGCCTTCTCCCTAACTCAATGGAATTGAGGTCGATTGCCTCTCTCCTCTGCCACCCACCCTGCTATCAGCTAACTCGCATGGGTATTGAACCCCGGACTGATAAGGCTCCTTATCATTCTAACCAGCAAAGATGCCTCCCATCCATCATTGTAAATACTGCACAAAGCTTCCGCTCGCCTCGCAAGCGAGAGGACCCGGGTTTGATTCACGGGCCGGGCGAAACCTTCGGGCAGTTTCCTCACTCCTTAATCAGGCCTCTGTTCACCCAGAGGTAAATAGAAACCCAGATGTTAGTCGATCGGTGGACCTCTCTTCCGGGGATGATAACCCTTTTAAAAGAAAACAATAATAATTTGGTCGCTCAAACCCACGGCTGTTTGTGGGGACGCTGCTGTGCGCAATTGGCTGCCGCGTTTCGCCCACGAAACACAGTTTATCCTGTGAAGCGCTTTGAGACGTCTCGAAGGCGTGTGATAAGGCGTGTGGGTCAGAAATATGTCAAATTTATAATTATAATTAAAACGGTTCCCTTTACAGGGTGCCCACCTCCAAGCCACATCCTGTGGAGGGATATGAAGATTATTTTCGAAAGAATCACGCCGACTCAGACTTTGGCTTTGCCGAGGAATATCAGGTAGGCACTGAAAGTCATTCTCTGTCTCTCTCCCACCATCTCTCCCCCACCCCCCCCCACCTCCCCTCCCAACGCACACCAGGCACCACTGGCCCCCCATCACCGAACGGATTGACTTCGCGATCCTCCCCACTCGTGTGTTCAAATTCCTTCCCTCCCTCCCTCTGCCACTGTTAAGCGCTCTGAGACACTACCCTATGTGGAGGGCGCTACATAAGTACAAGTTGTTGTTGTTGGGCGTAGAGATTCACTGGGTCTCTAACCTGTGTTGTACCCGACTGGGGCGTGCTGTGCGGGCTGTAGTGGGGTTAGACATGGCGGAGGATGGAGTTTAGATCAGACTCTCACCATCTCTCGGTTTTGACACCCGGCAGACGTTAAGCACAGTCGGCACAAGCCAGTCGAAGGAGGAGGCTTTACTGGCGGAGAACAAGGAGAAGAATCGTTACACCAACGTCCTGCCCTGTACGTGTGTGTGTGTTACACTGATGGCTATGTGTCTGGTCTCTCGTTGTGTGTGCGTTGTGTGTGGGTGGGATCTCTGGAGGGTGTGTGTGTTCGTTTGTGAGTGTAAGTGATTGAGTGTGGGTGTGTGTGTCTGTATACTTGTATGTGTGTCTGTCTGTCTGTGGTCTGTGTACTTGTGTGTGTCTGTGGTCTGTGTGCATGTGTGTGTGTCTGTGGTCTATGTGTGTGTGTGTGTCTCTGTGGTCTGTGTGCATGTGTGTGTGTCTGTCTGTGGTCTGTGTGCTTGTGTGTGTCTGTGGTCCATGTGCATGTGTGTGTGTGATTTGTGTACTTGTGTATGGTCTATGTGTGTGTCTGTGTCCGTGTCTGGCCTGTGTACGTGTGTGTGTGGTCTGTGTACATGTGTCTGTGTGTGTGTGGTCTGTGTACGTACGTGTGTGTCTGTGGGCTGTGTACGTACGTGTGTGTGTGGTCTGTGTACATGTCTATGTGCGTGTCTGGTCTCTGCAGTCTCTGGTCCGACTCTGACACAGACATTTTGATTCTCTAGACGACTCTTCTCTCGTGAGCCTTTCTCTGCTGCCGAACACTGTCAACTCCAACTACATCAACGCCAGCTACATGCCGGTGAGTGCCCAGCCCAGACACACAGCGATGCCCAGACACACAGCGATGCCCAGACACACAGTGATGCCCAGACACACAGCGATGCCCAGACACACAGCGATGCCCAGACACACAGCGATGCCCAGACACACAGCGATGCCCAGCCGAGACACTACAGCGATGCCCAGACACACAGCGATGCCCAGCCCAGACACACACCGCTGCACAGCTCAGACACACACCGCTGCACAGCTCAGACACACAGCGCTGCACAGCTCAGACACACAGCGCTGCCCAGACACACAGCGATGCCCAGACACACAGCGATGCCCAGACACACAGCGATGCCCAGACACACAGCGATGCCCAGACACACAGCGATGCCCAGACACACAGCGATGCCCAGACACACAGCGATGCCCAGACACACAGCGATGCCCAGACACACAGCGATGCCCAGACACACAGCGATGCCCAGACACACAGCGATGCCCAGACACACAGCGATGCCCAGACACACAGCGATGCCCAGACACACAGCGATGCCCAGCCGAGACACTACAGCGATGCCCAGACACACAGTGATGCCCAGCCCAGACACACAGCGATGCCCAGACACACAGCGATGCCCAGACACACAGCGATGCCCAGACACACAGCGACGCCCAGACACACAGCGACGCCCAGGCACACAGCGACGCCCAGCCCAGACACACAGCGACGCCCAGCCCAGACACACAGCGACGCCCAGCCCAGACACACAGCGACGCCCAGCCCAGACACACAGCGACGCCCAGACACACAGCGACGCCCAGCCCAGACACACACAGCGACGCCCAGCCCAGACACACAGAGCTGCACAGCTCAGACACACAGAGCTGCACAGCTCAGACACACACCGCTGCACAGCTCAGACACACACCGCTGCCCAGACACACAACAATGCCCAGACACACAGCAATGCCCAGACACACAGCAATGCCCAGACACACAACGCTGCCCAGACACACAACGCTGCCCAGACACACAGCAATGCCCAGACACACAGCAATGCCCAGTCACACAGCGCTGGCCAGACACACAGCGCTGGCCAGACACACAGCGCTGGCCAGACACACAGCGCTGGCCAGACACACAGCGATGCCCAGACACACAGCGATGCCCAGACACACAGCGATGCCCAGACACACAGCGATTCCCAGCCCAGACACACAGCGATGCCCAGCCCAGACACACAGCGATGCCCAGCCCAGACACACAGCGATGCCCAGCCCAGACACACAGCGATGCCCAGACACACAGCGATGCCCAGACACACAGCGATGCCCAGACACACAGCGATGCCCAGCCAAGACCCTCCCACTCCCCCAGTGTTTCCAGGGGTTTGTGGTTTATGAATCCCGCCTTTTTTCCCACAGGGGTATAAATCCGAAAAGGAGTTTATCGCCACTCAGGGCCCACTCCCGGGCACCATCGCGGATTTCTGGCGAATGGTTTGGGAGCAAAATTCCGAGGCTATTGTCATGGTTACAAACTGTACGGAGCTAAACCGGGTGAGTGGGCGAGCGAGTGAGTGAGAGAGAGCAAGAGAGTGAGTGACTCCGGCCTGGAGACATAGGGTGGGCTGTCTCTCACCGCAGACCCCCGAGACCCTCATCCACACATTCATCACATCCTGGCTCGACTACGCAAACTTCCTGCTTGTTGGCCTCAGCCACGTCCTCTCCCGCACCCCTCTCCATGACCCCATCACCCCCATCCTCGCCCGACTCCACTGGCTTCCCGTCTCACAGAGAATACATTTCAAGATCCTAGTCCTCACCTTCAGAGCCCTCCGTGGGCTCGCTCCCCTGGACCTCCGCCACCTCCTAACCCCCTACCATCCTGCTCGCTCCCTCCGCTCAGCGGGCTCCGGCCTGTTTCACATCTCCCGCCTCGCTCGCCCCACCATCGGCGGTCGGCCCTATCGGCCAGTGTGCCCCCCACCCTCTGGAACTCCATCTCGCAGTCCCTCCGCCTCACTCCCCCTCTCCTCCCTTTCCTCCTTCAAGACCCTCCTCTTCAGCCGGGAATCGAACCCGGGTCCTCTCCTTTGCAAGGCTCAAGTGCTGACTACTAACACTACAGGACTCCAGTATGGAGTTGCTGTGTGTCATCCCATAAGGCAGGCAAAACACTCTGTGTGTGTGTTTGCATGTGCCCCTGTGTGTTGCTGTGACCCCTGTATGCTCTGCGTGTGCCCCTGTGTGTAAATGTTAACGTAAATGTGTGTAAATTACAGGTGAAGTGTGAGCATTACTGGCCCCTGGACTACACTCCCTGCACTTACTGGGACATCACTGTGTCTGTCACGTCCGAGACCATCCTGCCCGAGTGGACGCTGCGTGACTTCAGTGTTAGGAAGGTCAGTGCCAGGGCGGGGTGGGGTGGGGTGAGGCAGGGATGCAGAGTGTTAATGTGTACCTCTGTGTGTGCCCCTGTGTGTCACTGTGTGTGCCCCTGTGTGTCGCTTTGTGCCCCTGTGTGTGTGTCTCTGTGTGTTACTGCGTATGCCCCTGTGTGCCCGCTGTGTGACATTCTCTCCTCTCTGCCAAGACTGATGAGGAGGAAAGCCGCACAGTCCGACATTTCCACTTCACGGCTTGGCCGGATCACGGCGTTCCCGACACCACTGATGTGCTCATTCGCTTCCAAAACCTGCTCCGCAGTTACCTGAACGAGAGGAAGAGGAAAGGCAGCACCATCGTACACTGCAGGTGAGTGGGCACAGCTTGGGAGTGAGAGGGCACAGTCTGAGAGAGAGAGAGAGAGAGAGAGAGAGAGAGAAAGGGCATAGCCTGGCAGAGAGAGGGCACAGCTGGGAGGGAGTGGGCACGCAGAGTGAGAGATGGCATTTGATTGGTAAGGCACTGTATCAAATGCCCTCTCTCTCCCCGTTTGCCTCAAAGCGCTTCACAGGATAGACTGTAAAGTGGAGTGACTGTGCATTTTGTTGGCGAAACGAGTGAACTGGAATAAGGGCGAACGAAGGCGCGGCCGAAGAGGCGGGTTCTTGAGGGTGGGTGACCAGGTGGGGGGTGATTTAATGGCAGTGACTCACGTGAGTGTGTTTGTGTGTGTGTGTTTGCAGTGCGGGGGTGGGCAGGACTGGCACATTGATCGCCCTGGACTACCTGCTGCAGCAGATCCAGTGTGAGCAGGTCGTCGACGTCTACGGGATCGTCCACGAGATGCGGAAGAGGCGCCCGTTCATGGTGCAGACGGAGGTGAGCTCACCCGCCCTTATTACCTCCGACTGAGCTTCAACCTCTCTCCCTTCCTCCCTCCCTCCCTCCCTGCCACCAACCTCACCCTATTCCCTCCCTCGCCAGCCTCGCTCGTTCTCAAATCCCTCCATGCCCTGGCACCTCGCTACCTCTCCGATTAGCTTACCCTCCGCCCCCCCACCCCCCCCATTCCACCACCCGTTCAGTTCGCCCCTTGCCCCTCTCTCCGCCCCACCATCGCAGGATGTGCCTTCAGCCGCTACACCCCAAAAACTCTGGACACTCTCTCCCTCAATCCCCCCCCTTCCCTTCAGTCTTCCTCCCCCCCCACCTCACAGCTTCATAACGACGACCCCTCTCTCTCGATCCCAAACGCTGACCTTTCCTCCTGTCAAACTCCTTCCTCAATCAGACGTATCAGTCCCGGGTTTATTGCCGCCCGGCCTCGCTCGCTAAACACGTGAGTTAGCGATAACAGCCGCAACTCTGATCTCTGGACCTGAGGAGCTCTGGGCAGGACAGTGTCGAGGAAGTTTGATCCCTTATCTGTCCCTTCAACAACAAAAAATAATGATAGCAGTTTGGTTGCTCAATCCGCGGCTGTTTGTGGGGACGTCGCCGTGCGCATTTGGCTGCCGCGTTTCGCCCACAAAATACACAGTCACTACACTTTACAGTGTATCCTGTGAAGTGCTTTGAGACGTCTCGAAGATGAGGCGCCGTATCTAAACGCAAGGATTATTATTATTACAAATGGGGAATTCTCAGTTGGGTTTGGAGACTCAACTGATGGGTTGTGGGGGAAATGCGGCAGCCGATGGCGCGCAGCAGCGTCCCCACAAACAGTCGTGGATTGAGTGACCGAATTATTCTTATTCTGATTTGTTCTGAAGGGATTATTATCCCCGTAAAAGCGATCCACCAATCGACTAATAACCGAGTTCCTACTTATTGCTGGGTAAAAAGAGGCGCGCGTGTGTGTGTGTGTGCGTGGGGTGGGGTGGGGGGTGGTTAAGGAAACTTGCCCAACGTTTCGTCCTACCTGGGGATCGAACCCGGGTCCTCTCGCTTGCGAGGCGAGGGCTCTAACCCCAGGGACTCCACATTGTATTGCATTATTTAAGCGCTTTGGGACGTCCTCCCGACGTGAAAAGCGCTATATCAAATGCAAGGATTATTATTATTATTATTATTATTATATTGTGGCTCTGTGCTCTCTCGCAGTCTCAGTACATCTTCCTGCACCAGTGCATGCTGGACACAGTGAGCTCAAAGCCGGTGACCGATCACATCTACGAGAACCAAGGTGACCTGATCTACGAGAACGTGTCCGCTGTTAGCGGATGAAGCAGCCAGAGACCAGTTCACTAACCCTCAGTGTGACCGCCAGCCCGTCAGCTCGTGCCGTCCGTTAATTATTCGGGGCTGGTTCTCGAGCCTCCAATTTCCAATCATTCCCGCAAATCCCCAGTGCGCCGTGATTTGATGCGCGTCTGTTTAACCGACTGTACCTTCCTTCCTTCCCCTCCATCTTCAGGTCGCGCCAGAAGACCTCTTCCTCTTCTTCGATCGGGCCTAGGGTCACCTACCCTTCTCCCCCCTTCTCCCCCCCACTCCCACCGCGGTCAGCATCGTACTCCGCCATGTCAAGCTAAGTGCAAATTGTCGCTATCGCCACTGATGTGGCTCCTCGCCCTTCAAATCCCTCCACCGCCTCGCACCCCTCCCTACCCATGTGTCCTGCTGACCCCATATCAACCTGACCGCTCCCTCCGCTCAACGGGCTCCGACCTGCTCCAAGTCCCACCGCGCCCCACGCGCCCGCCCGCCCAGCCCACCCCACCATCAGCGATCGAGCCTTTAGCCTCTCTGCCCCCCCCCCCCCCCCACCCTTTGGAACTCCATCCCACATTCCTTTCACTTTGCTCCCTCCCTCTCCTTCAAGGCCCATCTCAACATCCTTCTCGTCAACCACGGCTTCTGTCACCCTCCTACACCCCCCACCCTCCACCCCTCATGATCCCAACCCCCAGCTCATGTCCAAATCCCTGACCATCCATCACCATCCGTCCTCCCTTTAATAATAATAATAATAATACTTTCATTTGATATAGCACCTTACTACGTCTTCGAGACGTCTCAAAGTGCTTCACATCGATGTAATAAAGTGAAGTGACTGCGTATTTTGAGCGCGAAAGGCGGCAGCCAATTGCGCCAAGCAGCGTCCCGCAACCAGTCCCGTGTTACCCCGCAGAATAAGGGGTGGAATGGCTTTTGACCGAGGAGAAATCCATCAGCGCAGGATTCGGTGTAGTGCGGGAATTGGGGCTGATTTGAATCCATCGGTTTGGAGTCGGTCACAGAAGTGGAACCATCTATTAACAGATCATTTAAAGGCGCAGCGAGAGACACAGCTATTCGAGCGCAGATTGCCAACGAAACGCCTTTCAAACGCTTCAAACCGGGCCCACAAGGGAAAGCCGCGCGGGCGAAACCCAGACGGACTCGGGTCGCCGAAGAATTGCGACTGCCCCGTCGAGTGTAGTGACTGGGTATCCTGTGGCTGAACTATAATACCGATCACTCCGCAAATGCAGTCGATGGGACCCAAAGCAGCCGGCGTATGGTTCAGTTCACCCTGTGCTGAAAGCCGATCGTAACGGCGTAAGTTTATTGCAGGATTTCGGTGTAAATTCAGAATAAATAAAACAAAAAAGCGTATTTCCTATGCTTCCATCTCGCGTGTGGAGGGTTTGGGTGCGACCCCGACGGGAAAGGCGGTTAGAAAACTAGACGCAGAAACGTTCGTCAACTTACACAGGTAAAACGGATTTTATTGTACAGTATTTTATTGGTCTTTTAAGTCCTTTTTTTTTTGATCGGGCGTACGGTTACCTCCCCATTCCCTCTCCCCCCACCCCTCCCTCCCTCCCTCCCTCTCCTCCCCGCCACCGTCAAGCGACAGGGGACGCTACCCCACGTGAAGGGCGCTGTGTAAATGCAAGTTGTTGTTGTTGTTGCTGCTCCGATTTTCTCCAGGCCACGGGTCCAACGCACTGGGAGAGAATGGAACGGCTCAGAGTACGGGGTGAGTCCGTCCGCGAGGGCTGGTTCTTTCGAGGGAAAGTCCCCGGTTTGGGATTGTTCCTGTGCTCGTGTGTTGCTGTCACTCTTTCAACGCAACTCTCTGACGCGAAAGAGTGACGGTCTCCAGTCCTGTTTTCCTGAGCCCCGGCCAGTCCGCAGTGTCCCAGGGCGCTCACTGCTGATGGCAGCACAGCCCGGCCCGGCCCATCGGCAGGAATCCTCCCCCTCAGCTCCTGTTAACCCCACAGCCAAAGCCCTAATAATAATAATAATAATAATAATAATCCTTGCATTTGATATAGCGCTTTTCACGTCGGGAGGACGTCCCAAAGTGCTTCACAGAACACACTGTAAAGTGAATTGACTATATTTGTGGGCGAACGCGGCAGCCAATTGCGCACAGCAATGTCCCACAAACAGTCGTGGGTTGAAAATGACCAATTTATTATTGTTTTTGGTTTTAAGGGATTATTATTAGGCTCTGTGTGGAGTAAGGAAACTTGCCCAAGGTTTCGCCCTCTGCCGGGGATTGAACTCAGGTCTCTCACTTGCAAAGCGAATGCTCTAACCACTGAGCTACAGGACTCCACTAACTGACTAACGGGGAGGGGGGTCCGAGCTGGACACGCAGCGGGAAAGCTTGGCCAGACAGCGCTCGCTCTCAATGGCCGAGCTATGTGTGGGTGTAGCTGGTTAGACGCCAGTTACCCCCCAACGCACACTCTGGGATCCCCCCCCCCACCCCCCCCAAGCCTTGGCTCTCGCCAACCTGCGCCTAATACTCTCGGAATTAGGTAAACGGGGGGGGGGCGTCCCTCCAGGGAGAGAGAGCGCTTTCCATCCCAACCATCTCTGTCTGGGCTTTCCAGGTGTGGGGGGATGTGGGGAATTCTCAGTTGGGTTTGGAGACTCTTAAGCAACAGTGACGGGTCTCCCTGTGTGACAGACGCCCGGCCGGTCACGGGACGGGTCTCCCTGTGTGACAGACCCCCGGCCGGTCACGGTGACGGGTCTCCCTGTGTGACAGACGCCCGACCGGTCACGGTGACGGGTCTCCCTGTATAACAGACGACCGGCTGGTCACGGTGACGGGTCTCCCTGTGTGACAGACGCCCGACTGGTCACGGGGACGGGTCTCCCTGTGTGACAGACCCCCGGCCGGTCACGGTGACGGGTCTCCCTGTGTGACAGACCCCCGGCCGGTCACGGTGACGGGTCTCCCTGTGTGACAGACCCCCGGCCGGTCATGGGACAGGTCTCCCTGTGTGACAGACACCCGGCCGGTCACGGGGACGGGTCTCCCTGTGTGTCAGACCCCCGGCAGGTCACGGGGACGGGTCTCCCTGTGTGACAGACGCCCGACTCGGTCACGGTGTCGGGTCTCCCTGTGTGACAGACACCCGGCCGGTCACGGTGTCGGGTCTCCCTGTGTGACAGACGCCCGGCCGATCACGGTGACGGGTCTCCCTGTGTGACAGACGCCCGGCTGGTCACGGGACAGGTTTCCGTGTCGGTCAGACCCCCGGCCGGTCACGGTGACGGGTCTCCCTGTGTGTCAGACGCCCGACTCGGCAAAAGAAAATCTATTTGAGAGGCGACGTCGCCTCCTGTAGGTGATGTATAAGTATTGCACTTCCAGTGTCGATGTGCAGATTGTTGACGCAAAAACACTCATTGCCTTTTCGAGCAGAAATCCCAAATTAAAGCACATTCCCTTCCGACCTCCGGTCAGTGCTCTGCTGACGTATCCGGAGAGGAGTGTGCGTCTGCGCTCCGAGACACACACACACACACACACGTTCCGGTGTGAACGACGCTATCTAAATGCAAGTTGTAGTGTCGTGCGAGAGAGGGAGAGAGAGGGAGAGAGAGAGAGGGTGCGGTTGGAGAATTAAGACCACGCAACGAAAATAATCATTGCAGCTCGATATAGCGACAAAGGGTCGTGGACCCGAAACATTCGTGGACCCTTTCCTCTCTCCGTAGATGCTGCCTGACCCGCTGAGCGCTTTTAGACGTCTTGACAGAGTGATGAGTTGCTGTGAAATTGGGTTCACGCTTTTGGCGGAAACTACACCACAGGATATCATTAAAATGTTTTATTAGCCATTGTAAAGCCACAAAAGCATAAGCATCAGATGACACCCAACCCATTATTGTTACTCATTGGGCTTAAATGACAACTAAAGCACTATCTTAACAAGATGCGCTCAGCACTAAAATTCTAAACATATATATAAAAAAAAGATTGTGTGATGTATGAAATGTGCCTAAATAACCTCTTAAGTGTTTCGCAAGTACGTTGGGTGTGTGTTTTAGTAAGTAGGAGAGAGGGCGAAACCTTGGGCAAGTTTCCTTACTCCACACGCCTAATAATAATCCCTCCACAAAACAAAACAATAATACATTGGTCATTTTCAATCCACGGCTGTTTGTGGGACATTGCTGTGCGCAATTGGCTGCCGCGTTCGCCCACGAATACACAGTCAATTCACTTTACAGTCTATTCTGTGAAGCGCTTTGGGACGTCGAGAAGACGTGAAAAGCACTATATCAAATGCGCGGATTATTATTACTTCTTTCTCTAATTGTCGGTTCTAAAACCCTGCGCTTTTGCCCCGGCATCCTTTTCCTTAGTTATTAATTACTAATTTTGTATCCATGTGTGTGTGTGTGTGTGGTGCGCCACATGACAGTTTTTATTCCTTTAAATCATTCTACGTAATTCATTTATTCACTACGTGATCAATACAAATGATTCTTATACTATAAACCCAACTACGTACAGCGCTAAATAAATGCCAGGATTATTATGGTGGTGTTGCTGTGCCCAAGCAGACTTGCTTCAAATAAGAGTCACAGGATTTTTCTGTGAACTGGAGACCAAGTTCCCTACAAAATAGTTGTCCCGGAGAGGTTTAACACTGCCCTGACGTGGGCTCCGAACATTATGATTTAGTGCTGACAGCACTGTGTTGTGGATACACTGCCCCCAAAGCCCTCCTCGATCTGACTCTGGTCACTTAATGCCAACAATAATCCTCGCATTCGAAAAACAGCGCTTTATCACGTCTTCGGGACGTCTCAAAGTGCTTCACGGGTCGCACCGCAAAGTGGAGTGACTGTGTTTTGTGGGCAAAACGCGGCAGGCAGCCAATTGCGCCCAACGGTTAGAGAGACCTGAGTTCAATTCCAGGCAGGGCGAAACCTTGGGCAAGTTTCCTTACTCCACACGCCTAATAATAATCCCTCCAAAACAAAAAACAATAATAAATTGGTCATTTTCAATCTACGACTGTTTGTGGGACATTGCTGTGCACAATTGGCTGCCGCGTTCGCCCACAAATATACAGTCAATTCACTTTACAGTCTATTCTGTGAAGCGCTTTGGGACGTCCTCCCGACGTGAAAAGCGCTATATCAAATGCAAGGATTATTATTATTATTATTAACGGTGGATTGGAGTGACCAATTTATTACTTGTCATACAGTAAAGAGAGAGTGAGAGAGAGAGACGCACACACGGGAGTAATAATCATTGGATTTTATTTTAGAAAAGATCAGTCATTGTCTCATCAGTTTCTCACAATTTCCTTCACGTTTCTCCCCAGAGGGGAGGGTTACATTCCAAAAAAAGTGACTTCAGAACGCCCAGCAGCAGCGGTGCGGAGGGTGGGGGTATGGGGGAGGGGGGGAAATGGGGGTATGGGGGAGGAGGGGGGAAGTGGGGGTAGGGGGGGAGTGAGGCAGTCGTGCAAATACTCGCCCCCAAAGCCCCCCCTCGTGATCTCGTTGCCTTCTTGGAGGGAAGAGTTCACATATTTTCTGTAGCGTTTTCACTGTTGGGGTCTGGATTGTGACTTTAGTGACCAGATTGAGTGAGAGAGGGGGAGAGAGAGAGAGAGAGAGAGCATTGTGGAGGACAGAGAGAGAGGGAGAGAGTTGGGGAAGGAGAGAGAGAGAGAGAGAGAGAGAGAGGATTGGGGAGAGAGCGAGAGCCTTGGGGAGAACAGAGATAGATCGAGAGAAAGAGAGAGACAGAAAGTGAACCCTGGACTGACCGAAACCGACCCTGGTCTCACTGCTGCGGAAACGGCAGTGAAACGGAGCCAATGATTAGTGTCTTTGCCAACTGCAAAGCCGAGGAGAGCTGAGCTCAGGGTATCGGCAGCCGCGGGCTATCAACGCAGGGAGCCAATGCACTCTCTGCGCCAGCGCCTGCTCGCGGGAGGACGACCATTTTAATCAGCAAAGGAGAGACGGAGAGAGAGAGAGAGGATGGAGAGAGAGAGAGAGAGAGAGAAAGAGTTGTCCCCCAAGTCTCTACCCCAACACAGACCAATTCATCCTCACATCTCGGCTCTCAGAAGCTCGAAATCCCTTAAGATTGTCTCAAAATTTTTTTTTCGGACAGGACAGAATTTCAGGGCGCTCACTTTCCATCTTCGTCCGGGGGCCAATTTTCCCCGCAGTTCCTTTAAGAACCAGCCTCGCAAACGCGAGCCAGGGTTTCGAGCCTTTTCTGAACCCCACCCACCCACCCACCCCTCCCTCGCAAAGAATTCCGCGGGTTAGTCAGTCTTAAGTTGACCGATCCAGGTCGAGGATCGAGAGAGATATGGGCAAGGTTTTAAAACCACTTTAGTGAGGAGAGGCATTGAGTTTGGGGTTTCTCCCCTCTCTCCCCCCCCCCCAAATTACGCTGTCATTCCTGGGGGAAATGATTCAGTCCTAAAAACAGGCGAGGAGCTGAGAGGTGGAGAGATCCGGGATCAGTAGGAACTGGTCACTTCCACTGGGAATAATTTGGAGCAATGAAAAATTCCACTGGGAAGAGGGGCGCGGGGGGGGTGGGGGGGGGGAAGAGAAGGGAGGGGACGAGAGGGGAGGCAGAGAGACAGTGGAAGCAAGGGGAGGGGGAAGAGGAGAGGGGGAAACATGGTTTGAGGCCAAACAGACCCCCTCACCGCCGATCATTCCCCCTCACCGCCTCCCCTCAAACCTCCCCCCCCACCCCCCTGCCCCCCACCCTCTCCTCACTCACTCCAATCGGCCTCTTGAACACACTGGTCTGAGTCAAGAGACCTCACTACCAGAGTACGAGTGGGAACGAGTGTTGGAACGGGTTCTGGGGGGGCAGTGGGGCGAGGGCTGGGGTTTGGGGCGAGGGCTCTGGGGGGAGGGGAGGTTGGGGCGAGGGCTCTTGGGGTGGGGGGGGGGGTCGGATGGGTTCACAGCTTGTGGCAGTAAAAGAGACTTTCCATCTCCTAATGCGACTGGACACTGCAGTCAGAGTCTATTGCGATGGGTCATTGCAGAGCCCGAAAGCAATGTGTGCGGGGAGGGGGGGGGGCACGGAGCGGGGGGGTGGGGGGGCGGAAGGGTGGGGCTGCACCCCTGCGCTGGGCTCGTGTAGTGTGAGTTTTTTTTTTTTTGGGGGGGGGGGGGGGTTTGGGGCAAAGACGGGCCAAGTGGTCCGGGGGGGGGGGGGGGGGGGGGAGAATGGGGGACACAGTGGTTAGTATTTCCGATAGGGCTTCTGGAAGTCTCCGGTGTTGAGCCGGGGTCGGGGCAGATCACCAAACATCTCGGTCCCGTCGGTCACGCTCATGGCGAGTGCCCTCATGCTGGCCGCGATCTTGTCCAGGTCCGGGGACGGCAACTGCAGCCAGAGAGCAAAGGGTTAACGTTGGGGGGGGGGGGGGGCGAGCTCTGCTTCTTCATTGGGTTGTATTCCCCCTTCCAATTCCCACCCCCCCTCCCCTCAACCCTCTTGGTTCAAAATCCCTGATTGTCAAGTGTCCCCTCTTCCCCCCCCAGTGACGACGACGACAACTTGCGCCCTTCACGTGGGGTAGCGTCCCGGGGAGCCTGACCCCGAGTGGTGGTGTCCGTGAGCACGGTCCAAGAGGAAGGTTTTCAGGCGGGACTTGAAAAAAGGGGAGAGAGGGAGGGGGGGGCGGGGCGGGGGAAAGGCGGAGGGATTGGGGGAGACTGTGGACAGAGTTTCGGGGCGTAGTAGCTGAAAGCGCGACCTTCGATGGGGGTGGGGGGGGAATGCCGAGGGACGAGCGCAGGAGGCTGGTGGGTGCCAGTCGAGGGGAGGCGCTGACCGGGTGGTGGATTGGGGGGGAGTGGGGAGGGAGGTGTCAGGGAGTGGGGAGGAACTTGAAGTCGACGTGTTTGGTGATGGGCAGCCAGTGGAGCCTGGCGAGGGCTGGTGAGATGTGAGATGCACCCTCTCCCTCCATTTCCCCTCCGTTTCGAGTTCCCTCCACCTCTCTCCCCCCCACCCCACCCACCTCACCCGAGTACCTACCCTCTCCTCGTTGTCGCCGTCGCCAAGCTTCTTTGACTTGAGATCCTTGAAGCCCCAGATGGGCACGGAGACGGGCAGGGACTTGGCGTACTGGTGGTATCTGACCTGAGCGAAGATTTGACCTCGAACAGGAAGGTCCTCGCTCAGGCTGCCATCTGCGGAGAGAGCGCCGAGCGGCAAACGTTAGCAACACAGGGAACAGGAGGAGGCCATTCAGCCCCTCGTAGCCTGTTCCGGCATTCTAGAAGATCAAGTCCGATCTGTAGCTCAACCTCAATTAACTGCAAAGAGACGGGCAGGGACTTGGCCCCACATTGCTGCCACCCTTCCCCAGGGGCGTGTTGGTCAGTCCTGGTGGGTAAACAGAGGCGTGTGTGTGTGTGTGTGTGTGTGTATGGGGGTGGGGGGGAGGCAGTAAGGACACTTGCCCAACGTTTCGCCTCCCGCCCTGGGAATCAAACCTCTCGCTCGCGAGGCAAAGGGGTCTAACCCCTCGAGCTCCAGGGACTCCCACGACTTCCACAAGGTGGGACTCACCGTCTGTGCTCTCTCCATCCAGGTCCGACTCGAAGAAGGGCTCGCAGTCCTGGCTGGTCGACTCCTCGTCCATCACAAACATGACTGAAGAGGAAGAGAAGGGAGAAGCCTGGGCTTCAGTACGGCGCCTGCGACACCTCAGTCCTCGAGCGCTACCCTCAAAGGGAACCGCGTTCCAGGCTTGCGACCGCACTTTCCGGCGCAACAAACGGCTTGCATTTTACACAGCGTCCCCCGCGCGTCCCAGGACGCGAACGCAACAGCCCCTTTGCCCCCAGCAAAGTCCCGCACGATTCATCTCGGCTGAGACACTGGGAGAGAGAGGGAGAGAGTTCCTGCGTTTTTTTTCTCCAATAACAATAGTCCTGGCGTGTGACCCGGCGCCTTGTCACGCCCTCGAGACGTCTACGGGTTACGCTGTAAAGAGCAGTGACTGTGTATTTTGTGGGCGGAGCGTGGCAGCCAATTGCGCCCAGCGACGTCCTCGCTAACCGGTCGTGGATTGAGTGACCCAATACGTATATTTTTTTGGGGGAGGAATTCTGACAATGCAGTGGCACAACCCCCAAAAAAAACAAAGGGCGTTGGAACGTTATTCTCGACTGAGCTCAGTTAAGACCTAATGTGGGGCTTGAACCCACAGCCTGACCCAGAGAGAGAGAGATGGAGAGAGAGAGTTGAACCAAGCTGACAAAGATATTCATGGCGTGAAGACTATTCTGGGACTCGATGACCCTAAGTTCAAGCCAGTCTGTCCCTCGACAGTTGCTCTCGCCCATCACACCAGCCCGCGCCACGCGCCACTGGCTCCCAATTCCCCAATGGATCGATTTCGAGATCCTCTCGCGGGTTTTCGAATGACTTTGTGCCCCTGGCACCTCCCTACCTCTCCGACCTGCCCGCTCACCCCCCCCACCCCCACCCAACAACTCCACTACCTCCCCTCGTCCGGCTCTGGTCTCCTGTTCCGTTCCCCCATCCCCTCCGCCATGGCGGGCTGTGCTTTCGGTCACTACGTTACGCCCCGAAACTCTTCTTACTCTCTCCCCCAATCTCTCCGCCTCGGCCCCCCCCCCCCCACCCCCTTCCCTCCCCACTCTCAAATCCCACCTAAAGAGCTTCCTTTTTGATCGTGCTTACGGTCACCTCCCCACCCTCCCTCTCCCCCTGGGGCAATTCAATTGCCTCCCCGACTCCTTCCCTCCCTCCCTCACTGCCCGGTTTACCTGAAGAATCGTTTAGGTTACACCTATCCGCCTCTCCCTCCGCCCGCACTTCCTCCTCCTCCTCCTCCCCCTGGCTATCCCGCAGCAGCTCCACTCCGGGTTCGCCCCCGGTGCCCGGTCCGGGCTCCACCAGCTGCCGGTCTGCGGACGGGAAGCTGCCGTTGCCGTAGATGGAAGGGTAGCTCTTGGAGAAGGAGTCGTCGGGCAGTTCCAAGGCCTGGTCCGTGCCTTTGTCTCCGCCTCCACCGGCTCCCGCGGGCACCGAGTTGTTGCTGTAGCTCGAGGTCTTGTGGAACACCGCGATGTCGTCAAGGTGCCTCTTGGTAGCGTCAGCGAGGGCCCCGGTGCCGTTCACGGCGTAGGCGAAGTTGGACTGGAGCCTGGGCCGGTAGGCGCTCACCAAAACCACGTCGTTGCCCGTCTGCTTCCGGTACTTCTCGGCGGCGCACACCAGAGAGTCCCAGCTCTCCCTGTGGTTGTCAACCATGTCCATCGCCATTCCTCGGAGCTGCAGCGACCTGTACGAGAGGAGGAGGAAGAGGAGGAGGAAGTGTAGAGAGAGAGAGAGAGAGAGAGAGAGATCAGTGCTGCTCAACATCTACGTGGAGTCCCTGTAGCTCAGTGGTTAGAGCCCTCGCCTCGCAAGCGAGAGGACCCGGGGCTCGATTCCCAGGTCAGTGCGACACACACACAGACACACACACACCACTGTTTACCAGCAGCGAGTAGGAACCCGGCTGTTAAGTCGATTGGCAGATCACTTTCCGGTGGTAATAACCCCTTTCGACAACTAATAATAATAATAATAATAATAATCCTTGCATTTGATATAGCGCTTTTCACGTCGGGAGGACGTCCCAAAGCGCTTCACAGAACACACTGTAAAGTGAATTGACTGTATATTTGTGGGCGAACGCGGCAACCAATTGCGCACAGCAATGTCCCACAAACAGTCGTAGATTGAAAATGACCAATTTATTATTGTTTTTGGTTTTGGAGGGATTATTATTAGGCTCTGTGTGGAGTAAGGAAACTTGCCCAAGGTTTCGCCCTCTGCCTGGAATTGAACTCAGGTCTCTCACTTGCAAAGCGAGTGCTCAACCACTGAGCTACAGGACTCCACATATATATATATATATATAACTTGATCACTCAACACACGGCTGTTTGTGGGGACGTCGCTGGGCCCAGTTGGCTGCCGCGTTTCGCCCGCACAACACACAGCCACTGCGCTTCACAGTGTGAACCGTGAGGCGCTTTGAGACGTCGCGAGGACCTGATAAGCCGCTCTGGGTCGAACGCGAGGATGATTATGATTATTATTATTATTCTTAGTGACAAAATCATTTGCAATCATGACGGTTAATACAAAGGAGGACAGACGGCTCCCAGCGTTTAAGAGCGAGCGAGTGCAGGCGGGGAACAGAGCAGAAACGGGCTGCGATGTTGATGTTAAGAGCAGACCCTTGGAGCAGGCGAGGCTGGGGGGTGACGGGTGGGGATGGGGGGTGGGGGATGGGGGTGAGGGGTGGGGCCTCAGGACAGGACAGGTCAGCCGGCTTTCTCTCGGACCTGTTTGTCAGTTGTTGCTTGAGGCGTTACTCATTGATGGGTCAGTCGTGGCTCAAGGCAACACATGACCTGCCCGTATCCTGCGAGTGAGTGAGTGAGTGTCCGAGCCAAACACGTGACTGTTAGACAGCCACTGTGTGTGTGTGTGTCTCTCTCACTGTGTGTGTGTCTGTCTGTGTCTCTATGTCTGTGTAGGTGTGTGTGTCTCTGTGTGTCTATGTCTGTGTGTAGGTGTGTGTCTGTGTCTATATCTGTGTGTGTGTATAGGTGTGTGTGTGTGTGTCTGTGTGTGTCTATGTCTGTGTGTGTGTAGGTGTGTGTGTCTATGTCTGTAGGTGTGTGTATGTCTGTGTGTGTGTCTGTGTGTGCCTATGTCTATGTGTGTGTCTGTCTGTGTGTGTAGGTGTGTGTGTCTGTGTGTGTCTATGTCTGTATCTATGTCTGTGTGTCTATGTCTGTATCTATGTCTGTGTGTGTGTGTCTATGTGTGTTTATGTCTGTCTGTGTGTCTCTGTGTCTGTGTGTGTGTCTATCTGTGTGTCTCTGTCTGTGTGTGTGTGTCTATGTGTGTTGATGTCTGTGTGTGTCTATGTCTGTGTGTGTGTCTATGTCTGTGTGTCTCTGTCTGTGTGTGTCTATGTGTGTTGATGTCTGTGTGTGTTTTTTTTTTTTTTTTTGTTTTTCTATTGTTCTTGTTGTGTGTGTGTCTATGTGTGTTTATGTCTGTGTGTCTCTGTCTGTGTGTGTGTGAGGAGTTCTCATCAAACATCTGCAGCTCGTCGAAGGACTGGGAGAGCGCGTAAGAGTCATGGGTGCACACCAGGAATAGCCGTGGGTCCTTCCGGGACCTGGGGGTGGAGAGAGGGGGAGAGAGACGGAGAGAGCGGGAGAAAGAGAGGGAGAGAGAGGGGGAGATAGAATCAGAGGGAGGTTGCTGTAGCTAATGTAACATGGCTGCTGCCACTGTACGAACTGTTAAGCTTCCCAGCTCCAACTTGAGGCACAGATCAGCCTTGGTCTGACAGAATGGCAGAACAGGCTCAAGGGGCTGAATGGCCTCCTCTTGTCCTTGTATTCCTATGCCCCAGCACTGTGTGCGCGTGCACACATGTGCGCGCGTGCGCATGTGTGTGTTGTGTGTACGGTATTTGTTCCTGGATATGTGCGCACGCGTCTGTGCGCGGTATTTGCTGGTGTACGTGTCCGTGCGGTCCGGGTGTGCACGCGTGTGTGTGGCGTGTGCGTGTCACTCACGTGGCCAGCATGACGTATTTATTCAGACACTTGAGCAGAGCCCAGGAGCCTCCGGCGTGGAAGTGCAGAGCGGGGAAGGAGATGCCGTCACGGGTGATGAAGATCAGGTAAGACCAGCCCAGCCCAGGCTTGTTCTTCCGGATAGACTTGAGGTCCGTCAGGCTGAGAGAAAACGCCCACTTACTGTGTGCCCCGGGGCTCGGCGCTACAGCTGGGGGACAGTGAGAGAGAGAGAGAGACAGGTGGGGCGGGGGTTTAGGCCCCAAAACACACACCAACACATACACGCGAGGCGAGGGCTCTAACCACTGAGCTACAGGACGCGATAGGGAGTATGGATGAGCATCTTTAGAAACAGCGCTGTGACTCACCGTGTACCTCCTCACGAGCCCGAGGTCTCACAGTGCTGATAACTGCCCAGTCAGGCTCGTAGCCCGGGTCAAACATGTCCTCCTCCGGCTCCGTGTGGCCGGCTCCGTTCATGGCGCCCAGCTGCAAACGCACAGAGCACAAGGCACTGAGCCTCAGAACCCACAACGATAAGGTACGGCATCACAGAAACGTAACATACGTAGAGTCAGAAGGAGGCCATTCAGCCCCTCGAGCCTGTTCCGCCATTCTATAAGATCATGGCTGATCCGTACCTCAAGGCCAGTTACCCGCCTTTGCCCCGTATCCCTTAAAACCCTGACCTAACAAACATTGATCTATCTCAGCCATAATCCACAGCCTCATCTCCCCCCCCCCGGTCCGGCGCTAGGCTCCACCACTCTTAAGCACTTCGAGACACTGCCCGGCCTGACGGGCGGCCACGTTGGTAAAGAAGATGACAGCAGTCGGTAAAGGAGAGGCCACAACACCACATGTCGTCACTCCGCAAAGTCGGGCACTCGCTGGAAGAGCTAAGCGCTGCTTTACCGGCGTAAGGAGTCGGGAGACAACTTTAAACGTTGGAAGGGAATCCACACAATATAACAACAGTAATAATCCTCGCATTTGATACAGCGCCTTATCACGTCTCAAAGTGCTTCACAGGATACGCTGTAAAGCGACTGTGCATTTTGTGGGCTCTCTCTGTCACACACACACTCACACATACACACACTTACACGCACCGACACTTACCCTCTTGGTATAAGCAAACTCTGAGCTCTGTCCCCTCTCACTGTCGGGCATCCAGTCCAGCACAGTGTCAGAGCCCTGACAGGAGGGAGAATAATTAAACAGCAGCAACACTTCCCCTTCCCTCGGGAAACCCCTCAGTCTTTACGTTCATGTCAGCACCTCAGACCGCACGACCCAGGAAGACGAGGTCCGGTACGTTTCTATGTCACCTCTCTCCCTCCCTCCCCCCCCCCCCCAGGCTCGGGGACAGGCTCCGCACGGTTAAGCGCTTCGAGACGCCGGCCCGCGTTTGAGGGCGCTGCGTTAAACGCGAGTCGTGGTCACCTTCTCCAGGATACGCAGCACTCCCGAGATGTGTGCGTCCTGATCATGACTCCGTTTGGTACTGGTGTGTAGGAACACACCCTCCGCCTCGAACACCACCTGAGGGACAAGTACAGGCAGTTACCCCCTCACACACCCACACACCCGCGGACAGTCCTGTTCCTCCCCACACAATCCCCCCCACACCCCCCCCCCCCACCCCCACACACACTCCCCACACAATCCCCCCACACCTCCCCACACCACCCCACCCACACTCCCCCCACACCCCCACACCCCACACCCCCCACCCCCCCACACACCCCCCACACCCCCCCCCCACACACCCCCCACACATCCCCCCCAACCCCCCCACATATCCCCACCCCCACCCCCCACACACCCCCCCACATACCCCCCCACACCCCCAACTCCTCTCAAGTTTCCGCGTCACTGCGTTAGAGTTGTACAGAGTCACAGTGCACTCAGGAGGCGATCAGACAATTTATTTTGTGGGGGAATGAGGGTGAGGGGGGGAATGGGGAAAGTCGGGGGAAAGGGGGTGAAGGGGCGGAGGGGGGAATTAACCTCCGGGACACAAGTGAAGTGAAGTGAAGTCGTCACTGATTCTCACTCTGAAACTCTCCGCTGTTTCCATGTTCCGTTCTTTCCAAAACAAATGCTGACGTCATTTCCGGGCGCTGCCTCGGCTCTGATTGGCCGAAAACCCTCCGAAAGGGGCGGGACAGCGGGGCACGTGGTGGGGCGCCATGCTGGTAAGGGAGCCGCCATGTTGGTGAAGGAGACGGCAACAACAGTCGGGAAGAGGAGCCGCCATGTTGATAAAGGAGCCGCCATGTTGGTGAAGGAGACAGCAACAACAGTCGGGGAAAGGAGCCGCCATGTTGATAAAGGGGCCGCCATGTTGGTAAAGCAGGCGGGGGGGGGGGGGGGCAGCGGGAGGTGGCGCGCGGACGGCGCTGCGCGATGACATCAGCGGGAGACGCCGAGCGGCGGCGGTGGGACTGTCGCTGGAAGGATCGGGAGCAGCAGGTGAGCGAGAGCCGCGGTCCCGGGGCCTGTGCCCCCCCTCCCCCCCAGGGCCTGTGCCCCCCCCCCCCCGGGCCCGGGCCTGTCCCCCCTCCCGCCCACCCCAACCCCCCCGGCCCTGTCCCCCCCACCCCGGGCCTGGGGCTGAGGGGGGGCCCGGGGGCAGCTCAGCCACACAGCCCGGGTCCAGCGGCCACAGGGGGGGGGTCAGCCCCACAGAGAGAGAGAGGGAGACACAGGGGGGGGGTCAGCCCCACAGAGAGAGAGAGAGAGAGACCCTCACACGGGGGGGGGGTGGTCAGCCCCACAGAGAGAGAGAGAGAGAGACCCTCACACGGGGGGGTCAGCCCCACAGAGAGAGAAGGGGAGACACAGGGGGGGGGGTCAGCCCCACAGAGAGAGAGAGAGAGAGAGGGAGAGAGAGAGACCCTCACACGGGGGCAGTGAGGGGACTCTGAGCAATAACACCGATTAATAACCACAATTGAGGGCAAAAAAAAAATAGCGACAACAACTCGTGACAATAATAACTAATAGATGAGTGCCCTCTCCCCTCACCCTCACACAGGGTCCCACAGCACCGGAGGCCATTCAGCTCATCGTGGCTGCGGCCGCCTCTTGTAAGAGCGATCCTTTCAGTCCCTTAATCTCCATTACTTCCCAACTATCTATCCCTTTCCCTTTCAACCCCCCCACATCCCCCCCCCACCCCCCCCTTCAACTGATCCCGTGGCCTTACATTATGGCAGTGTGTTCTCTCAACGACCCGGTGTGGAGAAATAAGCTCTGATCTCCCTTTGATCTCCACAAAATACACAGTCACTACACTTGACGGCGTGTCCCGTGAAGCGCTTTGAGACGTCTCGAAGACGTGATGGGTCAACCGCCCGGGAGTGTTATTGTTATCAACGCAGAGGGGCGGGTGACTGGGGGGAGAGAGAGAGTGAAATGAGCCGCGGAGGGAAAAAATCTGTTGTCCGTGTGTGTTTGGTTACAGTTGACTGCACACAGACAGAGACACACAGACATAAACACACATAGACACACACACACACAGACAGAGACACACAGACATAAACACACACAGACACACACACACAGACAGAGACACACAGACATAGACACACACACAGACACACACACACAGACAGAGACACACAGACATAGACACACACACAGACATAGACACACACAGACATCAACACACATAGACACACACAGACAGAGACACACAGACATAGACACACACACAGACATAGACACACACAGACATCAACACACATAGACACACACACACAGACAGAGACACACAGACATAGACACACACACAGACATAGACACACACACACAGACATAGACACACACAGACATAGACACACACACAGACATAGATACAGACATAGACACACAGACATAGATACAGACATAGACACACACAGACACACACACCTACACACACAGACAGACACACACATAGACATAGGCACACACAGACACACACACAGACATACACACACCTACAGACATAGACACACACACCTACACACACACAGACATAGACACACACAGACACACACACACACACCTATACACACACACAGATATAGACACAGACACACACCTACACACAGACATAGACACACAGAGACACACACACCTACACAGACATAGAGACACAGACAGACACACACACAGTGAGAGAGACACACACACACACAGTGGCTGTCTAACAGTCACGTGTTTGGCTCGGACACTCACTCACTCACTCGCAGGATACGGGCAGGTCATGTGTTGCTTGAGCCACGACTGACCCATCAATGAGTAACGCCTCAAGCAACAACTGACAAACAGGTCCGAGAGAAAGCCGGCTGACCTGTCCTGTCCTGAGGCCCCACCCCTCACCCCCATCCCCCCATCCCCACCCGTCACCCCCCAGCCTCGCCTGCTCCAAGGGTCTGCTCTTAACATCAACATCGCAGCCCGTTTCTGCTCTGTTCCCCGCCTGCACTCGCTCGCTCTTAAACGCTGGGAGCCGTCTGTCCTCCTTTGTATTAACCGTCATGATTGCAAATGATTTTGTCACTAAGAATAATAATAATAATCATAATCATCCTCGCGTTCGACCCAGAGCGGCTTATCAGGTCCTCGCGACGTCTCAAAGCGCCTCACGGTTCACACTGTGAAGCGCAGTGGCTGTGTGTTGTGCGGGCGAAACGCGGCAGCCAACTGGGCCCAGCGACGTCCCCACAAACAGCCGTGTGTTGAGTGATCAAGTTATATATATATATATATGTGGAGTCCTGTAGCTCAGTGGTTGAGCACTCGCTTTGCAAGTGAGAGACCTGAGTTCAATTCCAGGCAGAGGGCGAAACCTGGGCAAGTTTCCTTACTCCACACAGAGCCTAATAATAATCCCTCCAAAACCAAAAACAATAATAAATTGGTCATTTTCAATCTACGACTGTTTGTGGGACATTGCTGTGCGCAATTGGTTGCCGCGTTCGCCCACAAATATACAGTCAATTCACTTTACAGTGTGTTCTGTGAAGCGCTTTGGGACGTCCTCCCGACGTGAAAAGCGCTATATCAAATGCAAGGAATATTATTATTATTATTATTAGTTGTCGAAAGGGGTTATTACCACCGGAAAGTGATCTGCCAATCGACTTAACAGCCGGGTTCCTACTCGCTGCTGGTAAACAGTGGTGTGTGTGTGTCTGTGTGTGTGTCGCACTGACCTGGGAATCGAGCCCCGGGTCCTCTCGCTTGCGAGGCGAGGGCTCTAACCACTGAGCTACAGGGACTCCACGTAGATGTTGAGCAGCACTGATCTCTCTCTCTCTCTCTCTCTCTCTACACTTCCTCCTCCTCTTCCTCCTCCTCTCGTACAGGTCGCTGCAGCTCCGAGGAATGGCGATGGACATGGTTGACAACCACAGGGAGAGCTGGGACTCTCTGGTGTGCGCCGCCGAGAAGTACCGGAAGCAGACGGGCAACGACGTGGTTTTGGTGAGCGCCTACCGGCCCAGGCTCCAGTCCAACTTCGCCTACGCCGTGAACGGCACCGGGCCCTCGCTGACGCTACCAAGAGGCACCTTGACGACATCGCGGTGTTCCACAAGACCTCGAGCTACAGCAACAACTCGGTGCCCGCGGGAGCCGGTGGAGGCGGAGACAAAGGCACGGACCAGGCCTTGGAACTGCCCGACGACTCCTTCTCCAAGAGCTACCCTTCCATCTACGGCAACGGCAGCTTCCCGTCCGCAGACCGGCAGCTGGTGGAGCCCGGACCGGGCACCGGGGGCGAACCCGGAGTGGAGCTGCTGCGGGATAGCCAGGGGGAGGAGGAGGAGGAGGAAGTGCGGGCGGAGGGAGAGGCGGATAGGTGTAACCTAAACGATTCTTCAGGTAAACCGGGCAGTGAGGGAGGGAGGGAAGGAGTCGGGGAGGCAATTGAATTGCCCCAGGGGGAGAGGGAGGGTGGGGAGGTGACCGTAAGCACGATCAAAAAGGAAGCTCTTTAGGTGGGATTTGAGAGTGGGGAGGGAAGGGGGTGGGGGGGGGGCCGAGGCGGAGAGATTGGGAGAGAGAGTAACGAGTTTCGGGGCGTAGGGTAGTGACCGAAAGCACAGCCCGCCATGGTGGAGGGGATGGGGGAACGGAACAGGAGACCAGAGCCGGACGAGGGGAGGTAGTGGAGTTGTTGGGTGGGGGTGGGGGGGGGTGAGCGGGCAGGTCGGAGAGGTAGGGAGGTGCCAGGGGCACAAAGTCATTCGAAAACCCGCGAGAGGATCTCGAAATCGATCCATTGGGGAATTGGGAGCCAGTGGCGCGTGGCGCGGGCTGGTGTGATGGGCGAGAGCAACTGTCGAGGGACAGACTGGCTTGAACTTAGGTCATCGAGTCCCAGAATAGTCTTCACGCCATGAATATCTTTGTCAGCTTGGTTCAACTCTCTCTCTCCATCTCTCTCTCTCTGGGTCAGGCTGTGGGTTCAAGCCCCACATTAGGTCTTAACTGAGCTCAGTCGAGAATAACGTTCCAACGCCCTTTGTTTTTTTTGGGGGTTGTGCCACTGCATTGTCAGAATTCCTCCCCCAAAAAAATATACGTATTGGGTCACTCAATCCACGACCGGTTAGCGAGGACGTCGCTGGGCGCAATTGGCTGCCACGCTCCGCCCACAAAATACACAGTCACTGCTCTTTACAGCGTAACCCGTAGACGTCTCGAGGGCGTGACAAGGCGCCGGGTCACACGCCAGGACTATTGTTATTGGAGAAAAAAAACGCAGGAACTC